AGCACAGGAATAAGTGGAGCTTTCCTTAAAATGATAGCTAGTATCTACCTAAAATCATCAGCAAGCATTATTTGTGATGGGATAAGCTAGGAACCTCAATAAAATCAGGGTGAAGCAAAGATGCCCATTATCACCACTGTTATTTACCTTTGTGCTAGAAATGCCAGCTATAACAATAAGAGAAGAAAAAAAATTGAAGTAATTAGAGTAGTCAATGAAGAAACAAATTGTCACTCTGCAGATGATATGATAGTATACTTGGAGAATCCTAGAGACTCAAGTAAAAATCCAGTTAAAATAATTAACAACTGCAACAAAGTTGCAGGATACAAAATAAACCCATATAAATCATCAGTGTTTCTCTGTATTACCAACAAAGTCCAGCAGCAGGAGATAGAAAGATAAATTCCATTTAAAATAACTGTAGACAATATGAAATACTTGGGAGTTTACCTGCAAAAACAAATGCAGGAAAACAATTATAAAACACTTTTTAAAATTTTTTTATTAATTTTGATTTATCAGCAATCACTTCCATAAGCTTTTGAGTTTAAATTTTTCTCCCCTTCGCCCCCACCTTGCTCCCCAAGACCACGTGCAATCTGATATAAACTATACATATACATTCCTATTAAACATATTTTCACATTAGTGATGTTGTAAGTAAGAATTAGAACCAATGGGGGAACCACCAGAAAGAGGAAACAAAACACAACAGAAGAAAAAAAATAGCAAATAGTATGCTTCGATCTGCATTCAAACTCCATAGTTCATTCTTTGGATGTGGATAGCATTTTCCATCATGAGGCCTTTTGATATGTCTTAGATCCTTGTATTGCTGGGAAGGGTTAAGTTTATCAATATTAGTCATTGCACAACGTGGCTGTTATTGTGTACAACGTTCTCCTGGTTCTGCTCACTTCACTCAGCATCAGTTCATATAAGTCTTTCCAGGTTTTTCTGAAGTCTGCCTGCTCATCATTTCTAATAGCACAATAGTATTCCATTGCATTCATATACCACAACTTGTTCAGTCATTCCCCAACTGACGGGTACCCTCTCAATTTCCAATTCTTTGCCACCACAAAAAGAGCTGTTATAAATGTTTTTATACTTGTGGGTCCTTTTCCCATTTGTATGATCTCTTTAGGTTATAGCTCTAGAAGTGTTATTGCTGGGTCAAAGGGTATGCACATTTTTATATAAAACACTTCACACAAATAAAGTCAGATCTGTACAATTGGAAAAATATTAATTGCTCATAGGTAGACTGAGCCAATATAATACAAATGATAATGCTGTCCAAATTAATTTAGTTATTCAGCATCCTACCAACCAAATTACCAAAAATTCATTTTATAGAGCCAGAAAAAATAACAAAATTAATTTGAAGGAAAAAAGGTCAAGAATATCAAAGAAATCAATAAAAAAAAAATGAAAGTGGCCTAGCCATGCCAGATCTCAAATTGTGTTACAAAGCATCAAAACAATCTCTTACTGGCTAAGAAATAGAGTAGTGATTAGTGAAATATATTAGCTACACAATAAAAATAATAAATGACTATAGTTATCTATTGCTAAACTTCAAGCTTTGGGACAAGAATTCACTATTTGACAAAAACTGCTGAGAACACTGGAAAACAGTTTGACAGAAACTAGGTATAGACTAACATTTCACACTGTATACCAAGATAAAGTCAAAATGCTACCAAAAATATGTACAAAATGGTAATGGATTTAGACATAAAGGATCACGTAAGCAAATTATGTGAGCACGGAATAGTTTAACTGTCATATCTATGGACAAAGAAATAATTTGTGACCAAACAAGGGGTGGAGAGCATTATGGTATGAAAAATTGATAATTTTGATTACATTAAATTAAATAAGTTTTGCACAAACAAACCCAGTCAAGATTAGAAGGAAAGCAGAAAACTGGGAAAATGTTTTTTACAATTATCTCTGATAAAGGGGTCATTTCTCAAATATATAGAGAACTGAGTCAAACTGAGTCATTTCCCATTTGATAAATGGTCAAAGGATATGAACAGGCAATTTTTGTTTTTGTTTTTTTGTTTTTTTTGCTGAGGCAATTGGGGTTAAGTGGCTTGCCCAGAGTCACACAGTTAGTGAGTGTTAGGTGTCTGAGGCTGGATTTGAACTCAGGTACTCCTGACTCCAGAGCCAGTGCTCTATCCACTGTGCCATCTAGCTGCCCCCAACAGGCAGTTTTTGGATGAAGAAATCAAAGCTCAAAGCTATCTATAGTCATATGAAAAAAATGCTCTAAATCACTACTGATTAGAATGATACAAATTAAAACAACTCTACGGTAGCACCTCACACTTATCAGATTGGCTAATATGACAGAAAAGGAAAATGACAAATGTTGGAGGGGATGTGGGAAAATTGGGACAACAGTGCACTGTTGGTGAAGTTGTAGAGTGATCCAGCCATTCTGGAGAGCAATTTGGAACTTCGCCCAAAGGACTATAAAACTGCATGCCCTTTGATCCAGACCTACTTAGATCTGTATCCCAAAGAAAATTTTTTAAAAAAAATGAAAAGAACCTATATGTACAAAAATATTTATAGCAGCTCTTTTTATGATGAAAAATAATTAGAAATTGAGGGGATGCTCATCAATTGGAATGGCTGGCAAGTTGTTTCATATGATTATGATAGAGTACTATTGTGGGGTAAGAAATGATGGGGACGAAGGCTTCAGAAAAAACATAACACCTATATGAACTGATGAAAAGTGATGCTTATTGACTGACTACAACTGACTACAGGTATTAATAACCCCATTCTACAGATCAGGAAGCTGAGACTCAGGTTAATTATCTTACCCAATGTCATAAAGTTGATAAATGGGAGAGGTAGGACTCCAACCTAGATCTTTTGACTTTGAATTCAGTACTCTTTTCAGTAATCAGCAGCATACTCCATCATTGGTAGCTTTTTTGAATCTACTGATTCAGAACAATCTAACTCATTCCAATCCAATTCAATAAGCATTCATTAAGGATTTACCTGTCCTAGGTTTCAGGGTCATAAAAAAAGGGGGTAACAGACGAGGTGAATCCTCTAGAGATTAGCATTCTCCTGTGTACTCTCCCCACAAGTGACTCCTCAGGAGCTGAGTAGCTTTCTTCTCTCTCTAACAGATAGTGTTGCTGGAATATGCAGTAGAATGTGTAGAGGATAGTGAAGGTAAGAAGACTCCATGACTATTAATAAGGGGCTAGGTTATGGAGAATTCTAAATACCAAATGAAGGTATTTATATTTGATCCTGGAGTCCCCAAGCCTCATCTCTGCACCTTAGAATCCCTAGTTTTCTTCAAAATTTAACTCATTTGCAGCTACCTACATGGACCTTTCCAAATTCTCTACCTGCTGGTGTTTTTCTCTCAAAATTACCTTGTATTTACTTTGTATAGATTATGTACTTGTGTTTCTATGTTCTATCTCCAGAGATAGAACGGAAGCTCCTTGAGGACAGTGTCTATTTCATTTTTGTACTTGCATTCCCAGTGCCTACCATAATGTCTTTTATGTGTCAGGTACTAAATAAGTTGTTGGCTGATTTAGTTTGGAGGGTCTCATCAAGTTCTTTACAGCATTTCTCTATGTCTTTGTCATCTGCAACAGATAATTGCATAACCTTGTAATTTCATGGAGGTCTTTAAAAAAAAAAGGAATTATGATCACTGTAATACAAGATGACCAAACTGGCCCATGAAATGTTTTTTGTTGTTGTTGTTGTTGTTGCTTTTGAGGGTATGATAAAAACAACTCTACTAACTCCTTTATTTGTCTCTAAGTAGAATTGGAAAACCACTTTTCCATTTAGCTACAATTCCTGTCTTTCAACTGCTTTAATTAGCATCTAAGTGGCTTAGTGAATAGAGTTCTGGGCCTAGAGTCATATGAATTCAAATCCAACCTCAAACACTAGTTGTGTGAACCTGGGCAAATCACTTACCTCTGCCTACCTCAACTGTGAAGTGGTGAAAATAATAGCACCTATCTTCCAGGGTTGTTGTGAGGATCAAATGAGATAATATATAATTTTTTTAAGGCAGTAGGGGTTAAGTGACTTGCCCAGGGTCACACAGCTAGTAAATGTCAAGTGTTTGGTCTGAGGTTGAATTTGAACTCAGGTCCTCCTGACTTCAGGGTCGGCACTCTATCCATTGTGCCACCTAGCTGCCCCCTGAGATAATATTTTTAAAGTGCCTAGCATGGTACCTGACACATAGAAGGCACTTAATATTAATGTCTATTTCCTTCCTTCTTTCCTTTCTTTCTTCCCTCTCTCCCTCCTTCCTTTCTTATGAGAATTTAAAAGTACTTAATTTCTCCAGTAACATGCCCTCTTGCTGGTCATTGAACAAAGATTTCACATTTAAAGTACTAACAATGTCCCCTTTTTATCACTGTCATGACAGAAGCAATGGGAGATACATATGGTTGAGGACCATCTTGTATTGTATATTGCTTCATGGTTTCCTTGGCCAAAGAATTAGTACTCAGGTGTCTACTGATCCTAAACCTTTCTATACTTATCTAGGCTTGTCCTCAGAAAGGAAACTCAATTTTCTCTTACTATTTTACTCAATAGCCATAATTTTTATTGGTGTGGTTATCTATTTTAGTGATGTAGATTGCACCCCTTCTCAAGTTGCTATGGATTAAAAAATCATTACCTGTTGGACAAACTTTGGTTTGCTACACACAATTTATACTCTTTTGGAATAGGTTTTTATACTATGATGATACACTGAAGTAGAACTTTACATGAATCCATAATGCAAAGCATTTAAACTGTTTCAGCTACATATTTGTCTTAACACTCAGCTGAATTGTGAACTTCTTTATCTTTTAAAATATCAAATTTGCCAAGAGTAAGTACATATCTGATGGATTTTTTTCAGCAAATTCAATTAAATGCTGATGATAATAAAAACCTAAATTATTTATTTTTTCTTTTAGGCTAAAGATCTGATCATTACACCAGCCACCATTTTAAAAGAAAAACCAGACCCAAATAATCTTGTATTTGGGACTGTTTACACTGATCACATGTTGACAGTGGAATGGTCTTTGAATTTTGGATGGGAAAAGCCTCGTATTAAGCCTCTTGAGAACCTGTCATTACATCCTGGCTCATCAGCCCTTCACTATGCAGTGGAAGTAAGTAATATATTCCTTATGACATGTATATTTAACTTTATTTTCTATGCATTGCATGCTTATCCCAAAATTGCTTTTGTGCAGTAGGTTTTTTTTTTTAATTCTCTTTTTTTTTGTGATGTTCATTTGGGGAAATTTGTCATCTTTTTTTACAGACAGATTAAAGAGGTCATTACATATTCTTTATATAATTGTATAGTTTATAAAGGGGGACTGAAAGAATAATTGAAAGCAAATAGTAAGGTAATTTCATAGAGAAATTTACCTAACCAAAAGTGACTAATTAACATTTTATGTATCATTTAGCCTTTCAGTCTTTTACTACTGTGGAAAAAGAGTCCAATAGTATGGCTGGATTTCAAAGTGAGCTGGATACTTTTATGACTAGTAGTAACATTTATAGTTATGAATGTTAAAAGAAGCATTTAACTTAATGTCTTTCTTCAGGCATAAGTTTAAGTTTATAAGCATAAGGGTTTGAGAAAGTAATTTTTCTCCTTCCTATCTCTTTATGGCACATCTGTATGTGTGTATGGGCATGTGTGTGTATTATGTTTTCACACATTATCTCCTCTGAAATAATGAATATAATGGGAATGACTAAGAAAAATTTTCGCCCAAATATTTGGGGAGGAAGTGAAAAAATAAATCAGTACAAGGCATCTTAGTTTCAGCCCATTGAGAAACTCCACTTCTTTTTTTAGTTGACTTTTAAAAGGAATCTCAAATTAGAGACTAGGACCCTTCCTACCAGCAGTTGTGGTTGAACTAAGGTGTCCATTAAGAGACTGAGTTGCCCAGCTGTATATGATCTATCTTCACTGCCGGCAACTCTTGATGCCAGATATGATCTTAAATGGCTCTGGAATATTTTTGCTGCCTAATATATCAACATAATAATAGTCTAATCACGTGAGGAGTTGAGGAGGCCAATGATGGTAGGTGGAAAAAGGGAAACAGGTTGATTCTCGTCTCTGAGACTTTGCAGAGGGTACCTCTAGTTTCTTCCAAAACAGCTCAGGTATCTCCTGCATCAGGCCTTTTCAGTTTCCCAGAGCTGCTAGTGCCTCATTCTCTGACTTACCACCTTGTATTTGCTTTTCATATGATTTGTCTTACCTTTACATGTACATGTTGTTTTTCTGATCAAATGTATACTCTTTTGACAGTAGGTGATGGCTGTATGGTAGGTCACAAGCAGATTATCCCTCAGGTTATGAATTCCTGCTTAGGCAGACCATTCATATTTCTTTGGGCCAGGTATATATGTGCATGAGAGTGAGTGCGTATGCATACGTGGACATATGTCCATGTTCTCATAATGGCATTATTTATCCAGTTCTTCTCGAAGGTATAAATGAACCTGTCCTCCACTCATAATCTTGAGTCTTCTACAGTTACGAAAGTCTACCTTCTCTATGAACTAATTATACACCTCTCTACCTCCTTTCCTCTGTCTCCTATATCCTGAGTTCAAATCTGGCCTTAGACACCTACTAGCTGTGTGACCCTGGACAAGTCACTTCACCTTTGTCTGCTTCAGTTTCCTCGATTATAAAATGGGCATAATAATAGCACCTACCTCCCAGGGTTGCTGTGAGACTCAAATGAAAAAATTGTAAGTTGTTTAGCACAGTGTCTGAGACAGAATAGGCACTTAATGAGTGCTATTTTCTTCCTTCCTTCTCTGTGTGTCATTTACCATCCTAAATATATAGCAGGGCAACCCTTTTAAGATCAGATTTGGAGAGCAGGTTTTCTAGCCCAATTCTCAATAACTGGATCCAAGGAAAGTGACATATACACCAAGTGGCTTTATACTCTTCTCTAAAAGAGACTACTAGTATACAGGCATGAAATCTAGAGTTTTAAGTTACCCCAAGCACATAGGCTTTACCATTCATGTGCCTCCCTGCTGGGTCTCCAAAATGTTGAGGTCATACTCTTTGAGGGTAATCATTGGTATAGTGAAAAGAATATTAGTTCTGGATTCAGAAAATTGGCATTCAAATCCTGGCACTTCTCTTTCTCAGTTCCCTCATTTGTAAGATGAGGATAATAATATTGCATTACCAACCTTGCAGCATTGTTCTGAGGAAATTTTCTTTGTAAAATGACGGTGCTCTTTTCTGGTTCTCCTCTCTGTCTGACTGTTCCTTCTTATTCTCCTTTGCTGGGTCATCCAGGTCATGTCTACTACCATTAGAATCCCCCAGGACTCTGTTCTGAGACCTGTTCTCTTTTCCTTCCATACCGTTTCGCTTGGTCATCTCCTCAGCTCCGATGGATCCCATTACCATCACTCTGCTGATAATTGTCATATCTACATATCTAGTGCTAACCTCACTCCTGCATTCCATTTCCACATCTCTGGCTGCCTATTGGATATCTCAAACTGGGTGTCCTTTGGAAACCTCAAACTCAACATGTTCAAAACCAGAACTCATTACTTTTTCCCACCAAACCCTTCATTTTTCTTAACTTACCTATTACAATTGATGGCATCACCATCTTCCCAGTTACCCAGGCTTGCAACCCAAGAGTCATCCTTGACTCCTCACTGTCTCACCTCCAATTTATAATTTGTTGCCAAATCCTGTTGATTCTACCTTCATAACATCTTTCATATACTCCCATTTCTTTCCTCTGACATTGCTTTCACCTTTCTTTACCCTCATTACCTCATGCCTATATGATTGCAATAGGTTTCTGGTTGTTTTCCTTGCCTCAAGTCTCTTACCAGTACAATTCATCCTCCACTCAGCAAAAACAGTGATCTTCCTAAAACACAGAAATTCCCCTGTAACTCCTACTTAATGAATTCAAATACCTCCCTGTTGCCTCCAGGATCCAAAATAAAACCAGATGTTCTGCATTCAGTGCCTTTCACAAGCTGGTTCTTTGCTACATTTCCAGTCTTCTTACACCTTACTCCCCCTCCATGTACTCTTATTATTCAGTGACACTGGTTTCCTCACAAAAGATATTCTACTTCAAAACTCCATGCATTTTGTATGTGTCATGACCTATCCTTGGCTGTTCTCCATGGTTAGAATTCTATCCTACATTTTCTTTACTCCTGATTTCCTTTAAGTCTCAGCTAAAATCTTACCTTCTGCAAGAATTCTTTCTGTATCCTCCTTAATGCTAATGCCTTCCTCTGAAATTATATCCAGTTATATTGTTTGTACATAGCGGTTTGTGTGCTGTTTCCCATTAGTCTATGATCTTTTTAAGAGCAGAAACTGTTTTTGTCTTTTGTATCCCTCATACTTAGCACAGTGCCTGTCATATAGTAGGTACTTAACAGATTCTTATTGATTAATTATTCCCTCTTTATTATTAAATTATTAAATATTCTCTCTTTCCCTATTATTTGACATAGTATTAGAAATGCCATCTATAGCAATATACAAAGAAATAAATTTAAAAGTAAGCATTGAAGAGTAAGAAAAATTATGCCAATTTTCAGAATATGGTTTACTTAAAATGCCCCAGAGAAAAAAAACTAGTTGAAATGATTCATGTTTTTAGTAAAATAGCAGGAAACAAATCTACAATTATCACCAACATATTTGCACAATACTAACAAATACAAGAAGGAAATGCTAGAAAGAGAAATTCTATTCCAAATATTCCTAGGGCCCTTACAATATAGCTCTCCAAAAGCTGCATCTGGTTTCAAGTCTCTCTTTGGGTCAAAACCTTTGCCTTTGTGTTCTCTCTCTCTCTCTTTTATTAGGCAGTTGGGGTTAAGTGATCTGCCCAGGGTCACACAAGTAGGTAAGTGTACAGATTTGAACTCAGGTCCTCCCAACTCCAGGGCTGGTGCTCTATTCACTGCACTACCTAGTTGCCCCCTTTGTGTTCTCTTAAAGACCAAACTGGAACAAACATAAATCATAAAATAGACTACATAGGGGAAAAAAACAACAACTCTTTTCCCTCTGTGTACAAATGGGCTTTTTCAAAGATTTCTAGGATTCTAGTGGCAAAGAAAATGTTTATTACCTGGACACTTCATGCGTACCAATGACTGTTTCAGAGTTGGAACATTTGTTTGCCTCCTAAGTTGGTGCATATAGTTTTCCATAGAACTGCTAATGTCCTATGAGATGCTTGCTTCGGTGAGTTCCCATTCACAATTAGTTGCCACTGTCGTTTGCTGCTTCTTTATTGAATTGCAGCTGGTAGGCAGTCTTCTTTAACGAGATTTCATAGCTCTTTTGTGAATCAGACCCACAGCAATATCTAGTCATCATAGTAAGAGTCCTTTACTGTAAGTCTGTCTTTTAAATATTATATATAAAATGTAAAGCATAACTTAAATGTAAGCTATATTTCCAGAGAAAGAAAAAAGCCTTGTGATCTTACAACACATTTCCCTTCTCTATTTAAAATTATATTACCCAAGGTCAAAAAGGCAGGCAGCCAAAAGGAAATACTTAATCTTAGTTTGAGAGCATTCTGCCTACCTAGCTTTTGTTTCCCAAACCCCAAGCTGAAAGTGTTGGTTCTTAGTTGGGGAGATATTTTGATCACTACACCCCAGCAAGTTGGTTAGTAGGTTGCTCTGAAGAAATGAAGTCCAGAAGCTCAAAAAGAGAAGCTATAAGCCAGTTGAAATGCCCAGTATCCACCAGTAGATCAATGCCCAGAAGAAAGGATGAATCCAATGGATATTAAAGACACAATGCCCAGGAAGAAAACCCTAAAAGTAGTGCTAGCATATTATTGAAGACATCACCAACTCTGTAGCAATCATATATGTGCTTTACCCTGGTATCCCATATTCTTTGTCCACATATGTCCTTTTTGTGTGTGTTCTCTGTTTGTCTTGGCCAAATATATTCCTGGCATGAACCTTTTTAGGTGTGTTTCTTGGCCACTTATGCTTCTTAAATGTGTGTCCTCAATATTTCTTGGTTTACTGTTTTCTCTTGGTAACTTCCCCTACTGTGGTGTGACCAGTAAGGGAGAGTATCCCATGTTCACAAGGCAGTCTTCTTGTCACCTCTTTTGTTATGCTGTTTGATTAAATGTCTTTTGCTGGAACTAATGTATCCTTTGGTTGACTGGCAAACACTTTGATGAGGGTCACATTCTATCACAAAAGATAATATATGTGTGTGTGTGTGTGTGTGTGTGTGTGTGTGTGTATTCTCTTTCTCTATTGAAGTATTAGGTAAATGATTATTTGAAGGTCTAATATGTCATCACTGAGAGGCATATTAGAGAGATTAGGAGAGAGTAAAATCCAAGAATGCGACAGCCAGTGCAGAGGCACAGAGATGGGAGACTTAGTGGTGTATATGAGAAACGGCATAGAGCAGCAAGATCAGGGATAAATGGAATGCCTGAATTTCATTTTGGCCAATAGTTTTAGCCTATTCTCTCTCATCAGAACTATTAATAAATATCCATATTGTCAAGTTATATCACCTTCTCACCTTCATTAAGCCCCACTCATGCATGATATTAGCATGACATAGACAGAACCCTGGACCTGGTGTCAGGATAACCTGAATCACATCCTTCTTCAAACCCTTTATATGTGACACTGGACAGGTTAATTAAACCCTCTGGACCTCAGTTCCCTTATTTGTAAAGTGAGAAATTTGGGCTAGATGACCCCCAAGGTCCCTTTAAATGGTCCTCTCTGTTCCTGGAGAATAGGGACCTGGTTTTCTCTATCTTTTTACCACTTAGCATTGTGGTCTGGCATGTAGTAGGCACTTAATGCATGGTAATTTTTGCATTGTATCTACAAATCTGTATGAAAGCATCATTAGATAGGAAGGAAAACAAAACTCAGATAAGTGACACAATGACCATTTAGCTCTTTGAATTTGATGGGAATAGTAGTGCCTTCTTTCCCTGTGCCAAAGTTTTTTGCTAACACTCTGCTTAGACATAACACTGCTGGTGCAGTGGAGTCTGGAGTGGTACACTTGGCCTAGAATTAGGAAGACAAGAGTTTCAGATCCAGCCTCATTTAGCTGTGTGACCCTAGGCAAGTCACTTAACCCTGCTTGCCTCTGTTCCTCATCTGTAAAATGAGCCGGAGAAGTAAATGGCAAACCTACTCTAGTATCTTTGACAAGAAAACTCCAGGGGCAGCTAGGTGGCACAGTGGATAGTGCACTGGCCCTGGATTCAGGAGGACCTGAGTTCAAATCTGGCCTCAGACACATATCACTCACTAGCTGTATGACCCTGGGCAAGTTACTCAACTCCATTGCGTAGACAAAAAAAAAAAGACAAAAAGAAAACTCCCAATGGGGTCATCAAGAGTAGGACATGATAAAAATGACTGAACAACATACTTAGATATAATTGTTCTCCCTTTAAGATAAAGGCAACTTTAAATACATAAGGAAAGATGAAACCTGGAGAAGTCAGTCTTTTGATGTAAGTGGCTCTTTTTACTAATTATCATTGGTAATAGATTTTCTATTGTCTTTAAACTTCAGTTATTTGAAGGACTGAAGGCATATCGAGGAGTAGATAAAAAAATCCGTCTGTTTCGACCAGACCTCAACATGGACAGGATGCTTCGATCTGCAGCAAGGATAACTTTGCCTGTACGTAAGTCAAACAGTTTATGTTCCTTTTTATTTGGAGAGTTCCCCAGTATACTATTTGAAATAAATTTCTATGAATTTGGATGAAAATAGGTCATTGCAGGGAACTAGCAAAATGAATTGTGTTTCTAAATAGTCTGGGTATTGTTTCTTGCCTGCTTTCTTCTCAAAAAATGACGACTGAAAACCTTCAGGAGGTAAATTTATTTATTTGGTAAGTGCATAATAAGAGGCAGTATGGCTTAGTGGATAGTTAACTAACTAGCCTTAGAAGGAAGAAGACATGGGTTCAAGTTAGGACCTTTTGTGGTTCTAGGCAAATCTAAGTCACTTAATCTCTTGATGCCTTAGGCAACTTTCTACTTTTTTTAATAGTCAAAATTCTCTTTTTTTTCTTAACTGTAGAACAATTGGTAAGAGTTTTAATGTTACAGTTTTTGAAAGATAGTTTAAACAAAAAACCCAGCAAAAAAAGAACAAGGGGGTAGCTAGATAGATAGAGCACTGGCCCTCAATTCAGGAGGACCTGAGTTCAAATCCAGCCTCAATGACACATAACACTTACTAGTTGTGTGATCCTGGGCAAGTCACTTAACCCCATCACTTAGCCAAAAAACAAAAACCAAAAAACCCCCAAAGAACAAGACCCCTACACAGTCTAAAGTATTACACTGACATGCCAGAAGGATTTGGCAGACAGACATTAATTTTAGTCTAGAATGATAATGAAAAGAAGGGGATTGGGAGGAATAAAAAGGATACTCAATAAATAAGTATCCTCTTCCTAAGACACATTGGAGTCCAGACAGCTTGCTAAGACTTGAAGTTTCAGAAGAGGTAGTCAACTTGCACTGGGGGAGGGAGTTTCCTCTTTTGGCAGTTCCCTACGCAAATTAAATCATGGATCTTGTCCCTTTTTCTCAGTAATTAGTATTTGTGTTTGTATATGTGTGGGTTCATGAGAGTGAATGAGGAGAGAGAGCTAGACCAGCAGTCAAAAAATGAGTTCAGTTCCCAGGTCAGCCACTTAAGAGTTATGGCAGATTATGGATAAGTCAGCCTTATATATACATAATTTTACCAATATATAAAATAAAGATGTTTAATTAGATAACTGAGGCTTCCTTCAAACTGAACATGCTATATCCATATATAAATCTAAAAGAAGATCTTCTGTAGTATTGAAAAGAAAAAAATGATGCTCGGAAAATGTAAGTGCTTTTTCAGGAAATTGATTGCTGTTCACACTAATAAACATGTTAGAAGTCTTAAATTACTTTTAAACTTTTTCCAAAGCTGTGTAGACTGAAACATTTTAAAATGAACGGACATATATTGGAACTGGGGCTGTTCTTTACTAGTAAGTTGAATTAATTATAAGATGTCTTGAACATATCTAAGGCAGTAGTCTTCCTTAATGGATTTTCACCTCTTATTGAGAAATTAGAAGATCGTTTTGCTACAAACTGTGGGAAATGTACTCATCCTATAATTAAGAACTCCTTAGATTTATCAGTAAGTTCTATCCATAATTCTAATTAACTTAGCTCAGTATACTTCCTGAGAAAACCAAAGTGTAGTTGAACCCAAAGAAGAAAACTTCCATTTAGCATCTTCTAATCTTTGCCTTCAGGGTTGAGTATGGGAGCTCTGGGTAGTATCCTGAAATTGGAAAGTAAACTTACGTGAGGTCCCTGACATCATATGCATATCATCTTTCTGTTTATTCTGTATACGTAGATATGTAACTTGTTGACCATTCAAATCTAAGCTCCATGAGAGTAGGGATTATTTCACTTTTTGTTTCAAATTCCAAATTCCCAGCACACATCTTGATGCCTGGCATATAGGAGAAGCCTATATAAATAAAATAAATAATATAATAAATATAATAAATAAAATATATATAATATATATATTATAATATATATAATAAAAAAAATAATTCTTAGGAGCAGCTAGGTGTACAGTGGATATAGCACCAGTCCTCAAGTCAGGAGAACTTGAGTTCAAATACAGCCTCAGACATGATTGCCTCGTGAAAAAAAAAATAAGAAAAATACCTCTTGGCTAATTGATATCTTTGTATTTTATTTTATTTTATTTTTTTGGTGAGGCAGTTGGGGTTAAGTGACTTGCCCAGAGCCACATAGCTAGTGAGGGTTGTGTGTCTGAGTCCAAATTTGAACTCAGATCCTTCTGACTCCAAGGCCAGTGCTATATCCACTGCGCCACCTAGCTGCCCCTTGATATCTTTGTAAAACTATGTTTCTACGTGTCATGTAATTCTACTCATTTTAGTTAAGCAGGTGCTTATTAAAGGCCCAATGTGACCTTGTGCTTTTAATCTCTCAGCACTCAGGCTACTCTCTGAGCTCTAAATATTGCAAAGCAGTTGCCAGTATGAATTGGTGGAGGGATTTTCAGAAAGGAGAATTACATTAGTGAAATCAGCCAAAAAAAAGTACCAGGCACTTTGTACAGCAAAGACCAAAATGAAGCAGTCCCTGCTCTCCAGGTGTTTGCATTCTACTGTAAGGAAACAACACATACACTGAGAAATAGGAAATAAGTCTACAGTAACAGGAAAAAGGGAAGGGAAGAGAATACATTCTACTAAGAAGCGTGAGACTCCGTAAAATAGTTTTAAGATCCATGGAAAGGATAGTTTGGTTGGTTTATTTGGGAAAATAGTTTTATGATTTGTGGAAAATGTATTATACCAGTAAAAAGTTACGATGATTTTTCTGGAAAAAGCCAGGATACAAGTGTACTGAGAGGTAAAGGGATGCCAGCAACAGGTACAAGAGACAGAGGGTTGACCCCTAAATTGCTAATGTTCTTGCTGGTTTGTATCTTCTGACAGAATAGGCTCAGGCAAGGAATACAAGTTATTATAAAAAAAGATACTATAAAAAAGAATCTTCTTAGACTGAAGTCATTGAATCAGAGTTTATATATTACAAACTAAGATATTAGTAATCTATTTAATATACCCTAAAGCCCCCAAATTGGACTAGTTTAACAATGTTAAGCAAATGCATTTATTAATTTATAATCAATAAAATACTTTTGTTTAAACTGAATACTTCAATTTATTTCATATTTTCTAACAGGATGAATTTTCTGATTAGTGAATCTTTTTGGCAGGGTGACAGCTTTTCAGGAAGTCATAAAAGGGCTTACTTAGGTCAATAAATGATTATTCTTTATATCAGAATTATTAATAGTCGATGAATATACTATCTTCTATTTCATGTTTCTGAATTGCCCCTCAAATTTAGGCTCTAATTAAGACAGATCATAAGGAGTAAAATCATGATATGTTCTTCTAATTTGAGACTTAAAAGTTTAGGAATCATGAAAGTGAAGGAAACGTTTGCTAATTTTTTTTCCTGGAAAAAAGTCACAGGTCTTGTGATGTTACTAGTCAAATTCTAATGAGTCTTATGTCTTATGATGGTACTAGTTTTGTTTCTTCTTATCTGCCTTTAGAATCTGGCATTCCAAACTGGAGGCAGAGAGCTATATTCCAAGTCTCTGCCTCAGTTCCTTCCTTCTTTACAGTGGTATGGCCATCATAACATCAAAGTTGAGAGCATAAATTATTAGGTCTATCTTTAGCATGTGCTAGTTCTTGCTTTTTGTTTTAAATGCCTTAAAACTCCATTTTGTAGAATGTTCATCATCTTTCTTAGGTTTATTCACCTCACAGATATAATTAGTCTCTTAAAGCATGACTTACAAAAGCTTACAGCCCTTCCACAGAAGTGAAATCATGCTGCCACAAGGCAGCTGTCATCTGGGAACCTGAAGGGTATTAGCATACATCTGAGCTGACTCTGGGGTTCTATTCTAGGCCATGGTGATTGCACTAAACATTACCATGGGGAATTGGAAAGAGACAATTTTTGGTGGGTTTTAAGGCCACAAGTACAGAGCATGAAAAATTTGTTTATGGTTTAGAGCTTTTATGGTTCTGTTCTCTTTCATTTAGGAGCCAGCTCATGCTAAAGCAGGACTTTCTAACTTAGGGTCATGAACTTTTTCTTTTTTTAGTATTTTGATAACTTCATATCAATATAATTGGCATCCTTTGTAATTTTATTTTATTTTATTATATACCTTTAAAAACATTATTTTGAGAAGGAATCCATAGGTTTCACCAGATACCCAAGAGGTCCGCAACACACAAAAAAGCGAATAACTCCTGAGAAGGATCATTGATTAGAAGTTTGAAGTCCCAGAGTGTGAATCCCAGCTCTTTCCCATACTAGTCACATTACTATGAGTAAGATACAACCTCTCTGAGCCTCTGTTCCACAGCTGAAAAACAAGAATAAGAATATTTTTTATTACCTATTTTGCAGTTGTCTCAAAGTTTTTCTTTTAAAATGCTGTATATGTCTAAACTATTATTTCATTATTTCCTGGAGTCAGGAGTGTAGCTCCTGCAGTCTCGATAATTTCTTCCCAAAACTATTAGTACTAACCACTCCCCAGTTATTTTGTGTTTATTTTTTATATATTTTTGTATATGTATACATATTGTTTTTTCCTACTTGAATGTAAACTCCTTATTGGCAGGGACTGTTTTTTGATACTGTTATTTTGTCTTTTATTCCCACTATTTAGCTCAATGCCTAGTACATACAAGGGCTTAATAAACCATTGCTGAATTGAATGCACATGAGAAAATTCTGATTTTTTTTTTCTTGTGACCTTATTTAGTTTCCTATCCTTTTAGGAATTTGACAAGAAAGAACTCTTAAAGTGCATAGAAGAACTTGTGAGATTGGATCAGGAATGGGTTCCATACTCAACATCAGCCAGCCTCTATGTCCGCCCTACCTTTATTGGAACTGAGGTATGCTATGACTCTTTGGGGCATATTTTGTCTGTGTATATTAATTCCGTTTTTCTCCCCCCTATCAAACTTTTGCCGCTTGATCCAGTTCATAATTTGAAATATATAACCACCTTAGTATACCATCAATAGATATTTTTTTTTATACTTATATAGCAATAGATTTGAAATTATTTCTGCTGTGTGTATGTACCTTTGTGGTCTTTGCTGTTCAGGTACTTCCTGAAAGGCTCTGTAAATGTATGTAATTGGGGACCATTTGAGCTCACCAGAATGGGGAAGACAGTTAAGTTTTAAGTCTGATAGGGAAGGAGACACTACACAACCCTGGCCGACTGTGTGGTAGAGTTGGAAGAAACAGTAGAGACCTGTGAGTTAAGGCTGCAAGACCTACTGGGACCAGTTTCTTTGCCCGGAACCCCTGCAGTAAAAGGTACCAACTAAAGGAATCTGAAAGAAATGGAGCCACGCATGCCAGGGAGTAAGTTGTATAGAGTTTGGAAAGTGTGTTGCCGCTTGTTCCTTCTCCAGTGAGGTAGCTGGTATCAGCAACTGAGTAATACTGAGAGGGTTGGTGAAGATGGTTTTAAAGATTGTTTCCAGTTTTAGATCTGATTACTGCGTCATCCACACTTTAGGCAGTTTAAAGACCTAGAACTGGGCCAATTCGAGAAATTTGTTGAAACTATTTACTAAATTTGTAGGATAATACTACAGTTATTTAGACAGCTCTGTGGTTAAAGTAACACATCCACCTCCCCCACCTCACAATGTAACAATCCTGCATATGCTTGCCAGAAGCTCTGTCTTTCATCTCATCCTGGTATGAGTGGTGAGACACTGAAAATTAGCCATACGATTATTATTCATTTCATGCTCTTGTGTTTACAATGTAATTTGGTTTAGAGGAGCCTACTTAAAAACTTGATTAATATATTTAGGAATCTCAGAAGATCATATTTTAGCTGTTGATAATATTGAGTGAAAATGATAAAACTTATCAACAGCTAAAATCAGACGTATTTGAGTATCAGTCCATGTGTTTGCCCCAAACTTTCCTGGTGTTACTCTAGTTCTCCCCAGATTCCATGTCAAATAAAATATATTTCAAGCTTGTCAGGTGAATTGAAAATTAATGATCTGCTGTTAGTGCAGAATCTTTATCTTACTTGTCAGAAGTCACATAAATCGGGTAGGATTGAAGGAAATTTAATTGTGTAACAATGCCAGTAAGAAGACAAGGGAGAAGAAAACTTTTTTTAATAAAAATGTAAAATGAACCCATGGCAGTGGTACCACATTGCTTATTGCTTGTGTTGAAGTAAGAGACTGGACAGCCTGTCACCAAAGTTGATTTAAACATGGTGACAACAAATATGTTTATCTGTCTACACACCTTCCTGATCTTCTACATGCAGCAGTGATGAAATGTATCCTTTTTCATCTATCCCTCAAAGAAGAAGCTCTTGGATTCTTCCTTTTCCTTCAGTTAAGTATCCCAGCTCTTAGTAAATGTGTGACCATGGCACATATTTGACATCTATCAGTCTTGTTTTTATTAATCTGTAAAGTGGTGATAATAAGTCACTTTACCTCTGTCTGCTTCAGTTTCCTCTATTGTAAAATGGAGATACTAGCAGCTGCCTTGAAAGATCAAATGAAATAGTGATTGTAAAGCACAGTGCCTGGTACATAGTAAGCATTATATCAATGTTAGTTATTATTATTTATAAAATAAGGATAATAATACTTGTATTACCTGCTTCATTCGTAAGCCTTAGAATACTATATAATAAGAATTGTTATTTTTGTTGTTTCTGCTCCTTCTGCTGTTGCTTGGTTTTCAGAATTGGTATAGACTTACTCACTCAAATAATCCTTCCCATGCTCTCCCTCTAGTGGACATCATTTTTGTTTAGATCGTGGTTTTAAGGTATGCAAGCATCTGGTAAACTAATTAAGAAAATTTAATGTACATAAAGATAATAATTATGAGGAATGGAATTTACCTTAGAAAATTTTCCGTGGTGCTAGTAATTGCTATTTATTTTTTCAGATAATCTATTACATGTTGTTATGTAATTTGTATTATATGTAATATGTGGTATGTGTTATGCGTAATTACCCATTACATAAATATTTTGTTAATACAATAATATAGACAAAAGTAGACACATCTGTTTATATCTAATATCAACAAAATACAGTTGTTAAATCAGTTATTTGTATCACAATTTGTAAATTGAGTCTTACAAAGTCTCTGAGCTAGAAGAGTCCTTATCAGGGATGGAGAAACTGTGGCCTTGAGGTCACATAACCTCGAGGTTGCAGGTTCATCATCCCTGGACCATCTAGTTCAAACCGTACCCCACACCCCAATTTTACAGATACAGAATGAGATAAGACCCAAAGAAAATAATAATAGTCAGCATTTGCAGAGCACTTTACAAATATTATCTCATTTTATCTTCACAACAACCCTGAGAATTCAGTGCTATTAGAAGTCTCATTTTACAGATTAGAAAATTGAGGCAAAAGTTGACTGACTTGCCCAGGATCACTCAAATGGTAAATGTTTGAGGTCACATTTGAAACCAGGTCTTCCTGACTCCAGGCCCAGTGCTCTATCTACTGTGCCACCTAGCTATGCAGCCGGAGAGGTTAAATCACTTGTTCATGGTGATGCAGAAATTAAGTAGCAAAGCTGGGATTTGAACCCAGATTCAAATCATCCACAGGGAATTTAGGAAATAAATATAAAAGTCCTTCTTTAATTCCTCATAGCCCAGAACTTCTAAGTTCTCTGTAAATCTTCCCTTTTGAGTAAAGTAAATATTTTGTTTCTAGTTTAACTGACAACTTAATGAAATCCCATTGAGCTTACACTTAATGTAATGGGTCATTTTTTTATTAAAACTGGGAATAAAATTAAAGACATGACTTCTTGGAGTTGGCCATCTATTTTCATTGTGGCCAGACACACCCCGTTCTGTATATGTCTTCAGGTTGTTTCATTTGATTAGGACCATACTGAAGTAAATTTTCTGTTTGTTCTAAATTTTTGTTTGTCCTTTAGAATGATGATATCTAGGTCCATCTAAAATACACATGTACATGCAACCAACTCTTCGGTATCTATGATAATGGGGACAACGGGGAAAACATGGATAATTGAAATGCACAGAAAGTCCTCAATCATTTTTTTGGGGTCAATTTCACTTAGCATTTTAACTAGAAGCAAAGTTAGATTGGTTGTTGGTTCTCATCTCTTTTTACTTTACCTACTTGCTTTTTATTATAGCTCCTTGTAGCATGAAGCAGGTCTGGTATAGACCAATCACAGTAGTCAATCCAGGTTAAATGGAACAAGAGTTTTTTTCACCACTACGGTGTGGGGTGGGGTGGGGGTGGGACTCAACCTTGTGTGTATATGTTTTATATTTTTTTATTTGTTTTTTCATTCAAGTTCACAGACCCCAATATTTGTCCAAAGGTTCATGAACCCCAGTTAATGAGCCTCTACTCTTTTTCCTTTTCTAAGAAACTTTGCAACTTCCTCTGTTGTTTAGTGCCTAAGGATCTTTTTTTAACATAACCTTTATATAGTGACTTTAAATCTTTCCCCTACAATGTGTACCACCCCAATTTCTCTTTTAATTTGGCTGCTTTTCTTCCCCAGGAAGCAGTCTGCCCTTAATTCCTTTTTAAAAAACTATTTGTTTGGAGATTTTTGCATATTTTTTATTTCACAATTGCTTCAAAGTAATGATGGGAAATGGCCTTTAATATCTTTTTACATGGAATAGTAAATTGATTAATGTGTCACTTGTCTCTGTGCCTTCCTTTGAAGAGACTTTTGAATATTTTGCCTAGTACTTAAATTCTAGTGGAACATACTCTGATGTCTGGGAATCTGTGGTAGTTGCATAGCAGTGTGTTAAGCATTTATTGCCTCAGTCCCTCACATTTGCTAGAGATATGAATGTGAACCTATAGTAACCCTAAGTAGAAGTGAACAGTATATACAGTTCTAAGTAATCAAAATTTGTTTCTATTTTCCCACCTCACACCTTCAAGCTTTAACAGATAGGTAATAGGTAGGTTATCAAAATGCATTTATATATACTTTTCGAAGATTTCCTTTCCCTCATTAACCGCTTCTGACTCTTACAAACAGAAAAACTTTAATGTCTGTTTAAAATCTTTCTGTCAAATCTTTCTTTGTTGATAAGATTAACTGTTCTGTGTACAAATTAACATTCCATAATGATAATAATCCTGTTGACGGATAGCCGGTTTTCAGAGTACAATTGAAAATTTTGATTCTTAATCTTTAAACGAAGCACAGGCAAATCCCTGCTTTTTGTGTTTTTTTCTTTATCAAAGCCTTCCCTTGGAGTAAAGAAGCCAACAAAAGCCCTACTTTTCGTAATTCTGAGTCCTGTGGGACCCTACTTTTCAAGTGGAAGCTTTAAACCTGTATCTCTGTGGGCTGATCCGAAGTACATAAGAGCCTGGAAGGGTGGAACCGGGGACTACAAAGTAGGAGGGTAAGAGGAAATCCGGATTACTCCATGATGTGAAAGAATCTCTCCTAGTTATTTGTTTACTCATTTGACTCCAGTAATCTACTTTCTCAAGTTTTCCGTGTTTTAAATTGATTAGGACGCTTAAATGACAAATTATGCAAGTTGTTGGTATGGGAGGACAATTGTAAATGATATACACCAGAACTTTTTTGAATCACCAAAATTAGAGATTGAATTAGCTGCTGCCATATGTCTGTTCTATTTTGCCATAGCAATTAGATGGGTTGAGAGAAGAGACCATCTGGTGTTTGGGGCTGAAGCTCCAAGCTGGCCCTAGTATTTTAGGAGTCATGTCTGGGGAAGGTGCCTGCTGCATTGACGTGCTGTCTTCGTTGTCACTGAATATAATCATACCTACTGCCAACTGGCTGGAGGATAGCCCTTCTTTGGCTCAGTCAGACTTCGCTGAGAATTCAATTCAGCAAGCATTAATTACCTACTGTGGGCCAGACAGGAAGGGCAGCGTGCCATAGTACATACAGGGCTGGCCTCAGGGAGAGCTGGGTTCAAGTGCTGCCACTGACACATGCAAGCTATGGGATGCTGAACAAATCTCTTAACCTCTCAGCATTCCTGGTCATTCTCCAAGTCTACAAAATTGTAGAGAAGTTCTGATACCAATTAAATCCCAGGTCTGATTAAAAAAAAAGGTACTATATTTGTCCTGTGATGCTGGAGATAAAAGGGCAAAAAGGAAAGTCTCTTCCACCAAGGTGTTTGCACAGATAAGTAAATACAAACTAATTTGAAGAGGGAGAGAGAACCATGTAGTTGGCTATAGGAAGATTTGAAAAATGTTTTTGAAAAATTGATTTGAAAAACAATATCAGGAATATACTTGGCTTTGAGTTAGAAAGTCTATGACTTGGGATCTAGGGAGTTTCCTGAGTCACATAGGCATTAAATGACTCGCCCAGGGTCTCACTGCTAATAAGCATTAGAAGAGGAATTTGAATCCAGGACTTTCTGACCCCAAGCTCAGGACTCTATCCACTGTTCCCTAGCTGCTTCATTGGGAACTAACTTATCTAGATATAATTTATTGTTGTTAAAATAAAGGATCCATTGAAGGCATAAGCCAGCTTGTACATAGCCACCTGGGATCCTATTAGTCCTGGGACATTCCACAAAGCCTGTAAAATACTACTAATAATGATAGCCAAACATTCATATAGTACTTTAAAGTTTGCAAAGGTCTTCAAACTCACCTGAGAGGCTCTTGATCTGGGCTTATACACTGTTTTATACTCAGGACAAAGGGAGCTGGAGTCCCTTACAAATGTACCAATTTAGGTTATGCAGACTCCAGGTGCTTTTGAGTATCTATCAGAAATCCTTATAAATTATATAAGGATCCACACAAAAGTTGGTAAAATTCCTTTGGATTTCTGTGGTTGCATTCAGAAATTCCTTAGTCCTTTTAGCTGTTTTTGTGTCTGTCTCTCCCACTCCTCATTTTCAAGAGAAAGAGTCTAGTCTTTTTTAAGTGAGGCAATTGGGGTTGTGACTTACCCAGAGTCACACAGCTAGGAAGTATTATGTGTCTGAGGGCAGATTTGAACTCAGGTCCTCCTGACTCCAAAGTCGGTGCTCTATCCACTGTACCATCTAGCTGCCCCAGAAAGAGTCTAGTCTTAGCAGACTATTATTATTAATCCTGTAAATATGAATGCACATCACGCATACAGGCCAAGAGCACCTGGGAAGGAAACAGAGTGAACTAGGACCTAACAAAACTCTCAGATTCCTGCTGTCCTGGAAGAATAGATAGCCAAGTGGGCATTTGTGGATGTGAGAGTGAGATGTTCAGAACTGGCTCCTTCTTGTCACCTATGACAAGGAATGGTTTTGGAAACCTAGCTGCCCTGATGTCATTTCATCCACAGCAGCAGCATCGCTCTGCAGCTGTTTCTTCTCACTGTTAAATAGAAGGAAAATCTGGATAGTGATTACAGGACTAATTTTTGAGAGGCTTCTTTCCTCACTAGTGTATATACTTCTCTATTCAGGCAAATGGAAAGAAGCACTAGTGTACTGCCTTGATGCCTTTTCTGTAGGATGGAAAGACTGGAATGCTTAAAGCAATAGTGAATGGAAGCAACTGCTATAAGTCCTTAGTGAACTCTTTAAGATAACTTTACTATGGCACACATTACAGACAGTACATTCACAACTTTGTTACATTAATAACGCCAGTTTTAAAGGAGACTTTCTTTTTTCCTCTATTTATTAATTCTTTCCTAACCCAAGGATAAACACATAATAACTATTTCCACATTTACCTTATCCCCCTTTTAAAGTTAACTCTGCAGACTGTCTGGAAAGTACAATAACATTTTTATCTGGGGGTGGTCAGAGTATCTAGGAGTTAAAACAACAATGGAATACCATACCCCAGGGCAATTAGAAAGCAGCTCTAATGAGGTTTGGAAAAGTTCCATGATCAGTATGAAAAGTCAGAATAGTCTCCCTTGTCACTTAACAAGGGAAGGAAAAAACAGAACCCATAACTCAAGTATGTTACCAGGAATGCAAAAATTGAAAGAAAAAAGAGACTTTCTTTTAATGGCAATTGTATTCATGAGAACTTCTACCTGTATTGTCTTATATCTGCATTAAGTTCCTTTCTGTCATTAGCACATAGGAACAAGACAAGTTTCTCAAGCTGAAGTTAGGCTTTTAGATTTTCCAAAGGAAAAACTAATTGGGCCAAAGAAAAAAACAGGCTGTCTCCATGTGTATCAGTACCTTCCTGGGAAGTGATTCCTCCACATCAGAGGCCATTTATTACTTGTGTATTATACTTTAAGAAAATCCAAGAATGAAAGTCAAAACAACATGTAGATAAATTTGGGGGTGGTTATTCATTTAAGATTCTTAATAGCAACTCAGGATAAAGTTCTAATAAATAATAATTTTCCTCCCCCAAAAATCTAAAATTGGAATTGATTTATATATTCTAAATGAAGTGCTTTATTGCCACTAGCAAAAAGGTCTCTGTTTAATTGTAACAAGAGTGCTTTTCTTTTCTTTTCTTCCTTCCTTTGTTCTTTTCTTTCTTTCCATCAAAGAGGAGGAAAGCTGGGGGGACAGAGATCATATTTTTGTTCATTTAAAATTAATTTAAAATAAGAAAGTGGAGAGCAAACTTGCTACTTGAAAAGAAACTTCCCCCTCCCCCCTTAGACTGACTTATATGGATACCTGGCCTTATTTAGTAACCCATTATGCCTTACCACCAATGTAATCTTGATAAAGATGTGGGAACATTTTAAACTTGGGTAAAGCCCGAAAGTCCTTCTGTGCCAACGTTGTTTTGATTTGCAGACTGTGGAGTCAAGTCCTCTGTAATAGGGTCTAGCAGAGCCTATCAAGCTGGACAGACTTCAAGTACAGGACCCGGGATGCTTGGATATATGCAGTCTGAGGACCATCCTAGCATAGTTCAGAGAATATCATCAGGTGGACTGCAGGATGATCAGTTGTTCCACTAGTAGAAGTTAAGAAGGCTGTCCACTAAGGCTTGGAGGGCTTGGAAGGGTGATCCACTTTGACCCAAGTCACGAATCCTTGAAATTTCAAAGTTTTGTGCAGTATGAAAGACTGAATCAGATAGATTACCAATTTGGATGTCTATGGCCTCAGGGAAATCACAGGGCAAGCCTAACCGGTGTCCTGCAGTATTCAAAGAGTCTCTGCCAAGGTTCAAGTCCAGGTAGTTATTAGCCCTGTCACTGGCAAGAGGAAAGCCATTTTTTTCTCTTTGAACCTCTGGCTACTGAAGTTTAAAACTTGTACTGCCTACCTCACAGAGTGGTGGTCATGAAAGTTTTTTATAAAGCAGAAAGAAAACAAATGTGACCTTTTTTTTTTTTTTAAATTATTATTTGAAATTCCATTTATTTACGTTTTGGATTCTCATTTGTCTCCTTCCCAACTCAATCATGCCCAGGCTCACACAGCTAGTGTCAAGTGTCTGAGGTTGGATTTGAACTCAGGTCCTCCTGACTCCAATGCCGGAGCTCTAACCATTCTAACCACTGTGCCAGCTCCCCCTTTCCATGTCTTTCTAATACCAACCTGCGACTCTTACAGCTGACTCTCAGTTTTTTGGTGGTAGGCTATCCAGTTCCTTCACTGCCCTAGTTCTAATGGAATTCGTTTGTAATTGCTCTACTCAGGCATCTTTTCAATTAACTTTTTGAACTTAACATTAGATCTCCTTTCTCTCCCAAAGTGACATGTTATTCTCACGAACATAGGAAACACATGAAAGGGATCAAAAACGCGTTAATGACCCCATGCACAACAAAAAGCATAGTTAACACCGGAGAGGGAACTTGAGTACAATAAAGAGCTGAGCTAAGGTAATCAGCCCACCAGGAGATGAATCTATGGGGTCCAATAATAAATACAATAAAACACCTTCACATATATATATATATAATAGCTACTCAGTATTTTTCAAATTGAATAAAAGGTGGGTATGTTGTTGATCACTTGAAGATTTGTTTTTGCCTATTTATTCCTCTGGACTCTGCGTGTACTAAGGAAAGATGTAACATTCCTTAATCCTAATATAATTTAGAGTGGACTTAGTGCTCAGAATAATGACTTTGTACATCTTGTGCTTAATCATATTGATGCAGAGCCTTTGAACTTTAAAAAAAATATGATCCAAGGTTCCCCTTCCAGGGAGCAGGCATTAATTTCACATTCATTCTGCTTCTGTCACTTAAGTTCTCTTAGCCTCAGTTTCCTTATCTGTAAAAATAAGGACAATAATAGCACTTACCTCATCCTGTTGTTTCAGGGCTCAAATGAAATAATAGATGCAAGACACTTTGCAAAAATTAAGACTCCATATATGTGTCAATGGTGATGAGGATAAGGATGACGATGATACTTTCCTTGTATGCCAGAATTCCTAAATTCTGGACTGCCCTGGTTCTAGTTTATTTATTGTAAAATGGATGTCTTGTCAGACAATCTGCTATTCAAATGAGTTTGCTTTATAGGCATCTCAAAGTTTTAAGAAATTTTATTGACATTTATTTTTATCTCCTGGGGAAGACATGGGAGGAAGATTGGAAAAGATCCACATAGTATTCAGCAGAATATCTTGGTAAAAGTATTTTAATCTAATAACTGAATAGATAACATGAAAAACATTTGGGAAAATTTAAGCTTCAGTAATACTATGAATATGTTTACCCTAAATAACAGAAATTATGGATTTTTTAGAGGGAAAGAAAATCATTACCTCTAATTGATGTTTTGCCTCCTCAATTAGCAATTATGGTGCCTCCATTTTTGCCCAAAATGAAGCATTGCGTCATGGATGTCAGCAGGTTCTTTGGCTCTGTGGAGAAGATCATCAGATAACTGAAGTGGGAACCATGAACCTTTTCCTATACTGGATAAATGAAGATGGAGGTAATAGCATTTAACTTAATAGATTTCACTCTTAAATTAAGTTAATTCGATAGACTTAACTCTTCTCTGTTCTTAGATCATGGCTGTGTGAAGCTCTCATGAGTTCAGTGAAGGGCTTAGTTCCTGATGAATACTGATGAGTATTCTCAATAACCATTTTCTGGTCAGCATGAAGATTTCTGCCTAGCCTCTTCACTATCCCATACCATCATTTAGTTAACCAAAGAAACTAACTTGGTTAATTTTCAGGTGAAGAAAAGGTTTTTGTTGTTTTAATTTGGTGCCTGTATCAGGACCACTCACTACATCACTTAGAATGAACTTGGCCTTCCTGAGTTCAGCGAATTTTAAAAATGAGGGGCAGTTTCTCCTACCCATTTAAGTTCCTTCATTTGATAGCAGATATTTCTCTACATGAATGATTATGTGTTAACCCAAGAATCTGAATCAGGCAAGTTCCACACAAATTTATCCTGCCACAGAACCTTTATAGCTCTGTAAGTAGGTACAAATACTGTTCCATCTGGCGACTTTTTCATCTTTCTCATATTACAGGCATTTTATTGCTTTCTACAAAGCTGTATGTTTATTGTGGGCTCCAAAGCTAAATGTTCTGAAAATGCTTATTTGGATATGGCAGCCTCTACCCTCCCCCACCTCTGCCAAAATAATAGCTAATTTGATTTTAGATTATATTAATCAAAGTGTAATATTTAGCACCAGGAAGGTAATGGTCCCCAGCAAGCTCCTTGAAGAAAGGACTATTTTTGTTGTTATTGTTTTGTATTTATAGTCATAGTGGCCATGCACACAAAAGCCATTTAATAAATGTTTGTTGATTGATTAATGTTGCTATAGTACTCTGCCCTGGTCAGATTGTATCTGGAATATTGTGTACAATTCTGGGTGATACATTGATAAGCTGGAGAGTGTCCAGAGGAGGGGAATGAGGATGGTGAAGTGCTTTGAGTCCATGCCAAAAAATGATGGAATTGGAAGAGTTTAGCCTGGAGGAGAGGAGACAAGACTTCAGTCGAACGTGAGAGCTTCAGGTATTTGAAGGGCTTCCAAGTGAAAAAGGACATAAGACTTGTTTTGCTTGACCCCAGAGGGCAAAATGGATGGGAGTTAAAAAAAGAAAAAAGAAAAAAATTGTGTTTGTAGTACAATTAAGTAACAATGAAGGTAACAATTAAGGTGTCTTAAAGCAGAGCCTTGATAAACACCTTTAGTTTATGTTACAGAGGGAATTCTTGGCAACAATCAAGTACAGATTGGAATAGGTGGTTACTAGCACCCCTTCCAATTCTGAGATTCTGTAATTAGGATGAGACAGCTAGAATCACAAGTCCTTTAAGTGTTAGAAGGGCGTTTTCAATAGGAAGCATGTAAAATAAAGACCCTGGTTCTTGAAAATTAGTGAGCAAACCAGCACCACCAGGCAGCCTAAAAGCAATCATTCAATGGATTAACAAATCGTCCAGGTGCCCTTTCTATTTTTCTTTTGTTTGAAGATGCACATAGGGCCATGGAATCTCTCAGCAAACTTTCGTTGTTAGGTGGAGACAGATTAGTCAATTGTGGGGAAAAAAATATAAGGAAGTGAATTCTCACTTCCTGTGGGAGGGGGAAGATGCAATATTGGTAAAGGTAGGTAGGACTGATGCAAACTTTATGAATCCTTTAAAATTTTGTGAATTTAGTGATTTTGAACTGACAGTAAATTTCTATTTCTCAATGTGAATGTGACCCTGGATACTTGAAGGCTGTACTAGAGTAGCCCAAGCTCTCAGAGAGACCAGATGGAAAGCCTTCAAGTATGGGTCCAGTTATGGAAAATCATGCTAAGACCAGCCTAGCCACACTCAGAGACAGGATCATCAGCAGAATGTTGGTTTTTAGGCAATAGATATTTTTAGTTGTTGCAATTCCCAAGTCAACCTACCAGTAAATGGGGGCCAGTGAAAGATGTATATGTAATTTCTTATAAATTTAACAATCACCAATAAACATAAATTTCAGTATGCTAAGAAGACCAAAAAAGAGGATTGCTTATGGAAACATGAACTTATTTTTTAGGTATATAATAAACTTAATATAGTAGTAACAAAATTAGAATGTTTGTGTTCTCTTGTGATATTCCTTTTGTTTTTCCTGAATGTTTTCTTAATTTTATTGATTTACTGCTGCTTCTTCCTGCTTCCCTCCCCTCCTTCTTCCTTTCCTTCCTTCTCCCTATCCTTCTTCCCTCTTTCCCTCCCTCCCTTACTCTCTCTTTGTCACTACCCATTGACTCTCAGTATAGGAAATATTCACACTAATGAAATAACAGACATTTTGAAGTATTGATTTTGAAAACTATTTTTCAGTTCTGCTTTAAGCTACTAACTTGTTTCATGATAGTGAGCAATGGAACTGTGAAAGGAGAAATCTTACTTTAAGAAATACTTAGTCATTTAAAGACCTAGTTTTGGTTTCAATATTAAATCTGAAATGTTTTCTTTGTTGGAATAGGCAGATGTGCCACCTCTAATTATTCCTGTGTCATTTGGCTACAGAAAGATGATTCCTATAAATTTGAATCAGTACTAGGACTTATTTTTAGTAATTTTTACCAGCACTGGTAAAGTGAGTCTTGACAGGGAAGACATTGAAAACATCACTCAGGGTTTTTGGTGTGGTTAGTCTCAGACACATTGAATTACAGAATCTCAGAGTTGGAAGAGGACTCATATTGAACTTAAAGTCCACCCAAACTTTCAGATGCTTTTTAGACCACAATTGAGTGACTCTTTTGGGGGCATACCTCTCGAAGGAAGTTAGGTGGCACAGTTGGTAAGAGTGCTGTACTTGCAGACAGTAGGACCTGAACCTCAGGTACTTTCTTAACTCTTTGGATAAGTCACAACCTCTGTCATCCTCTGTTTCTTCATCTGCAAAATGGGGATAATATACAAGGTTGTTGTGAGAATCAGATGAGATTTTATATATATAATATATATATATACACACACACACACACACACACATAATATTTATATATTTATAGAATGTATATTATAGACAAACGTGTGTATACATATACTACTTGATATATACATATATGTATACATACATACATACATGCATGTATATGTACATATATCTTTGCAAATCTTAAAGCACTCTATAAATGCTAGCTATTATTGTAGTTGTTTTGCGTAGTGGCAGAACCAATGTACAGATCTACCAACAGTGCTTTAATGTGTCTGTTTTTTCCCTAGCCTCCAATTTTTGTCGTTTTCGTTTTTTGCCTACTTTGCCAATCTGATGGGTGAGAGGTAGAATCTTTAATTTGAATTTTTCTAATTAGTGATTTGGAACATTTTTTCAAATATGAGTATTGATAGTTTGGTTTTTCACTTGAGGAATGGTTCTTTTGAAGCAGTTCCTCATTTCTTGGAAATGAGACCCTTATCTGAGAAATGTTTTCCCCACTTACCTGTTTTTCTTCTAATTTTGGCTGCATTGGTTTTGTCTGTGCAAAAACTTTCACATCATCAAAATTGTTCATTTTATCTTTATTGATCCTGTCAATCCTTTACTTGATCATTCTTCCCCTAGCCACAGATCTGAAAAATAATTTCTAATTTGTTTGATTTCACTCTTTATGTATATATAAAGTCATGTATACATTTGGAGCTCATCTTGGTATAAAATATGAAATTTATACCTAGTTTCTATTAGACTACTTTCCAATTTTTTCTACCAGTTTGTTTTTTCTTTAATAGCTTTAGTTTTGGGGGTTTATCCAATAACAGTCTACTCTGTGTTCACTTGAAGTGTTCTACTGATCAATATATTTTAATTTTTTTTTTGCTTTTTGATGAGGCAATTGGGATTAAGTGACTTGCCTAGGGTCACACAGATAGTAAGTGTCAAATGTCTGAGACCAGATTTGAACTCAGATCCTCCTGACTCCAAAGCCGTAGCTCTATCCATTTTGGTACCTAGCTGCCCTGATCAATCTGTTTCTTAATCATGACCAAATAATTTTAATAATTACTGCTTTGATATCTGGTACTGCTAGGCCCCTTGGTTCCCACTTTTTCTACTAATTCCCTTAATATTCTTGACCTTTTGTTCTTCTAAATGAATTGTTATTTTTTTCTAACTCAATAAAGCATTCCTTTGGTAGTGGGATTGGCACGGTACTGATGAAATTAAGAAAATATTGACTTGACTTCTCTGTGAGCAAAGAATATTTCTATTTTCCCAATTTATTGTTTTCCTTTATAAATGTTTCTTTGCCTTACAAGGCTAACTTGTTATTAGTTATAGAAGAATTGCAATATGAATCAGTGAAAGGAATATCCTTACTACTAAAATCATGGGTCCTTAAAGTATTGAAATAATATATGTGATATATATCATATATAATATGTACTACCTCTGGTATATATTTCATATAATACTTAAATATCTGTGATTATCATAGATAATAGCAGTGAGTATATTCCTTTCACTGACTTATGTATAGCATATATATATATATATATCATATATAATAATAGTATACATTATCCTAGATTTTGGGGGTGTTAGTGTTTTATTTTCCCACTTAAAAGTTTTTCCTCTGTTTAATATTTTGTTCTGTACCATTGTGAACTGAATGGTAACAAATGGAAGTCACTTTCAGTATAGCACATACATTGCCCTGTATTTGGGTGGGGCTGGTGCTAAGGATTATGACACAGAAAGGAAACCATGAATTGAGCGAGCTAATACTTGGCACCCCTCCCCACAAAGTGTAGATGAGATTTTGTGCCATGCCTCTCTGATACAAGGATTACATAACAAGTTGAAGTGTCTTGTGTTCCTTTATCCATAATTAGCTGCCTCTTTAAAGATAATAAAATCGCAAAGGTTGAGGGTATGGTATTTAGGGTGTACTCAGTGTTGTTTATCAAGATTACTTGTACACTTTCTAAGCACTAGATTGTAATTGTAACTGTATCTATTGTATTTGTTAGTTTGACCCCCCCCATACATGTTGATTTACAGAAGAACTTGGGTCTGCCACAGGAAATTTTGGGGTCCTGTTCTAGTAAAAGCATTTGGTTCTAAGTCCCTAGAATACAGAGACAATCAATTTGGTTCTCTTATATATCCCTGGTGAACTATTTGGCACTTACATACTTTTAAAAATTATGATTATTATAATTCTCTCAACTATGGCAATGTCTCATTTGGTAAAGAATAGGTCTTCTGTTGTTGTACTGCTTCTAGATAATCCAGTTCCTAAACATGATTTTTCTGTCAAAAACGAGCTGAAATTGTGGGCTTACATTCTGCTTTCCTTGTGTTGGATAATCTGAGGCCATATGGAGCTTGTTCTGGCTCCAGTAAACATGTTTGTGGTTGCAGAGGAAAATGAATATTTCTCACCCAAATGTTTTCATGTCGTCATCTCTGTCTGGCACCCAGGGGAGCAGATGTTCTGTACATTGACCCCAGGCTAATGGGTAGGATGCTGTGCAAAAGATGGATTTTATAAAGCAGGCAGTTTATACACTTCATGATCTTGTTTTTCTTAGATTCCACATGGGATGGGTGCTGGCTTCAGCATTAGGGGAAAAAATGAAAGTGAAAAAGTGAGCTGAATCTAGTCAAAGGACCTGTGTGCAAATCTTGATTCTACCACACACCTTCTCTGTGACCTTGGGCAAGTTCTCTAACTTTCCTGGCCTAAGTTTCCTCATCTATAAAATGAAGGAGTTAGACTAGATTACCTGTGAGGCCCCCCTTCCTGGTTTAAACCCATGATCCTATATCTGGTCTGTGATTCAAAAAGACTAAGCAAGTAGACCTAAAAGAAAGTGATTGCCTAGGGGTGTTAGTTCTCTTGACAGTAAAGCTATATTCAGTGGAAGATAAAAGGTAAACCAAAACAGAAAGAAACAAGCAAACAAACAAACTTTGTTCTTTAGCAGACTTTATCCCCTGGCTTGAGAAAAAAAGAATGGATCTGAATTAGTTATATTGGATATGAAAACTCCTTACTTAAGCAGAGTATTTTTTCAGGTACTTATAGAATATATAAGGGAACATGGGAAGATCCAGGACTCATCCCCTTACTGTCTATTTTCAACTAGTCTCAAGTCATCTATTGATCTATTATTTATTCCTTAGCAAACTCCTCAGAGCAGTTATTCCAGACTTTATCTTTCCTTAATCTCCAATCTTTCCCTACACTCTCAAAGAAGATGAAAATAATCACAATTCTTAAACTTTTCCTTCATGTACTCACAGAAGTAGAAGTTCAAGGCAGTTATCTGGCTAATTCAAGAGAAAACACCTGGAAAAATAGCTTTTGGTAGAGATAAGAGATATTGGAGGTACCATAGTGTTGTGGAAAGAGCACTGGACAGAAAGGTTGGAGGCTTGGTCTCTCAGCCTCACCCTGCCACTTTTAGTGTGGCCTTGGGCAAATCACTTGACTTTTTTAGTTTTCAGTTTCTCTATTTGTAAAATAAGGGGGTTGAACTAGATCAAGGCTTCTTAAACTTTTTCTACTTGCAACCCCTCAGTGCTTCTTGAACTGCGGATCGCAACCCCATATGGGTCTGGACTAGATGCACTTGACTAGTACTGGACTAGATGATACCTAAATATGAGTTTATAGTTCAGCTCTACAATTATAGAATTTGCAGTGGTATCAAAGATTGATTTCATCTCTATTTGTGTTTCCTCATCACACATGAATTCATTTTATACTGCTCTTACTGCTCATTTTCTTTGTAAATTCATCGAATAATTTCACAAGTATGTACTTGGCTTCTCTGCCTGCCTCCTTAAAGCAAGGGGCTGTATATTCTACTACTTCTTTTTTGTGTGTGTGTGTGTTTTGGTGAGGCAATCAGGGTTAAATGACTTACCCAGGGTCACACAGTTAGAAAGTGTCAAGTGCCTGAGCCAGGATTTGAACTCTTTCTTTTCTTTTATATCCCAGAATTACAGTATTTCAGACAGAAAGGTCATCACTGAAACCACGAAAAAGCAATCCACACCAAAGCACAACCAGCAAGTGACCATCTAGCCTTTTCTTTAGGGCCACCAGTGAAGGAGAACATTACCTTCTGATATAGCCTATTCCACTTTTCAGTAGTTCTAATTTTTGGGAAGACAGCTAGGTGGTGAAGTGGAGAGAATGCTGGACTTGGAGTCAGGGAGATTTCTCCTTGAATTCAAATCCAGCCTCAGACACTTACTAGCTGTATCACCCTGGGTAAGACACGTAACTCTGTTTGCCTCAGTTCCTCATCTGTAAAATAAGCCAGAGAAGGATATGGCAAATCACTCTGGTATTTTTGCCAAGAAAATCCCAAATGGGGTCACAGAGAGTTGGAAAGGACTGAAAATAACTGAACAACAGCAAACTAGTTTTCCTTACATCAAACCTAAATTTATTTCTTTGCAGTTTACACCAATAATTTTTTGTTCCGTCCTCAGGGGTCAAAGAGCACAAGTAGTATACCTGTTCCATAAGATGTCTCTTAAAATACTTGAAGACCCCTAGCTCAGCTCCCTTAGGTCTTTTTTCCAGGCGAAAGTTCCTTCAATTAATTTTTATATATGAAATGAATTCAAGGCCCTTCATCCTAATTCCTTGCTTTCAGTGGTCTCTTGTTAACCTTCTTCCTAAAATGTGATAATCAAGACTGAACCCTATGCTGTAGTTGGATTTTGACCAGTGTAGTGTGCAATGCAGATTGTATTGTTAATTGGTCAGTAGTGTTTTATTTCTTTGTGATCCCATTTGGGGTTTTCTTGGCAAAGATCCTGGAGTAGTTTGCCATTTCCTTCTCCAGCTCATTTTACAGATGAGGAAACTGAGGCAAACAGAGTTAAGTGACTTGCCCAGGGTCACATAGCTAGTAAATGTCTGAGGCCAGATGCGAACTCACAAAGATGAGTCTTCATGACTCTAAGGCAGGCACTCTATCCACTACCTTACCTAGTTGCCCTACAGTGTGGATATCAACTCTTTGTTTCTGAGATCTATCCCTCTTTTTATGTAAGCAAAATCAAATTTACCTTAGCTTTTTGGACCACAATATCCATATAGCTGTCTCATTGATCTTATATATTAAAAAAAAGCCTCTGGACTGTTTTTAGACAAACTCATCTGTAGCCATACCTTCCCTATCTTGGACTTATGAAGTTGGTTTTTTGAACCCAAATCCAAGACTTTTACATTGTACCCTATTAAATTCTATTATATACAATTCAGTATATATTCAATCTTATAAACATCTCTTTTTGGATCCTAACTCATCATCTGTTGTGTAAGCTATCCTCAGCTTTGTGTCATCTAAGAAATTTGATAATGATGCAACCATACCTTTATTGATACAAATGTTTAACAAAATAGGGCCATAGGGCAATCTACTAAAACCTTCCCTAATCTCATAGAATTATAATCCATTAAGCTGCAAACAATAAATTATGTCAACAAAACAGTGACATAATTTGTAATCTAATAGTCCATAGGTGATATTTTCATCTCTCTCTTGGTTCTGATGCTCTTCTTTGTAGAGCATGAGGATTAGGAGTGCTTATGGTATGGCACCCATTGTTAGAAGCAAAAGATATTCTGGAGACCAATTTATACTTACTCTTGAAAGGTTTCCATGTAAATTCTCATAAAGAGGGAGAAAGTGCCAGTGTAGACTTGCACATAGTAGGTGCTTAATATACCTTTGTAGAATGGATGAACAAATAAGTGGCATAAATGTATCTTATCAAAACCAATAGGTGGATCTACACATGAAGAAGAGAAATATAGTGGCCTAATCCAGCTTAGTGGAACCCTAGAAATTGACCTGTGTGCTAGCTTGTCACACATAAGCTAGAGGAGAATGATCCTTTGTGTGTCATTTATAGGACACCTTGATAATGAATAATACTTTAAAAAATCAGATTCAACATTGCTTGAGTTTTTCTCTGGCTGTATTATTCTTCATTAGGATAGTTTGTGTCTTCTCAGTTCATTTTTTGTGGGGAAAGCTGTTATCTTTTTCTGGGCCAATAGCAAACTGATGGCAATTAAATCAGTTGTCTTTTTTTTTTCGTCATGGATTTGAGTTATTTGGGAAACCTTACAATGGAAAGATGACAACAACATCTTCCCTGAATCAAAGTTATTCGTTGCCAAAATTAGTTAAGATTTAGTTACTGTTGTTGAAGTTGAAGTTCATGCATGCTATTTCTAAATTTGGAAAGTGTTCCGCCCACCTTTTAATTATCATTATTATTTTGTTGCAGAGGATGAACTGGCAACTCCACCACTAGATGGTATCATTCTTCCAGGAGTGACAAGACAAAGTATATTGGATCTGGCACACAAGTGGGTGGGTTATTTTGTCATTAACAATTTTTGTAACTGTAGAGATTTTCCACTTGCAGCTTGTCATGAGATAAACAGTAATGGATATAAGCCCAGGGTAGTGTTGAAATAATACCCTGCAGTTCCAACTAATCTTATCTCTTCTTTCAATCTTAACGTGAGTAAGAAGAGCTTGTTTAAAAGAACTGTCTTGGCAGGTTCATCAAATAAGTATAATTCATTCCAAAGGATTGAGAGAAACCTGTTAGACAAGCTCTCAGAATGAAAAAGGAAAATCCCATTCTGAAAGGTGTTACAAAAATGAGTACCACCATTTTACTTAAATTCCCTTGATTTTTACTGTTTAAACATTGTATAATGCTGAGGAATGGTTTTTCTACAATAAACATGCATAAAAGCTTTTACCTTTAGCTATATTCATACTCCCTGTTTCTGAAGGGTAATAGATTTCAGCTATTCACTCAGTAGTGATAAAAATAAAAGTATACTCACTGATAAACAAACCAATTGTTAATATATCTTACTACAAGTGGATTCCCATTACTTCAACCTTATTTTTAAATTAGAATGCTCCAGAAAATAAATCCAAAAAAATCCAAAATTGTTTATAGTAGCTCTAGTGTTCATTTGTACAACACTGGGGAACAGACTAAAACATTTTGTATTGGGAACAATGTCATGAGGAACTCATGATGAAAATGTTGAATGGAATGGTTGTCTGACAAGGATATTTGAATGGAGCTTTTGAGTCATGTGGTAAAATCGTCTCCAAGGGACCATGGATAGGCTTTGTCCATACTTTGGTCAAGCAGTGTTAATAAGAAACATGTTTATAAACACAGATTTTTTTTCTAGAAGAGTGCTAACAGTTTCTCTGGCAGAGATTTTTGAAATACAGGAAATGTGCTATAAATAATTCTACAAACCCCTGAAGTAGACAAGACCCAACTGCCACATGCTGCCTGGCACGTTGGCCATGACATTTGCAAACTGTTGGTATAATTTCAAACAGCTTGCCCTGTCCTAAATATGTTTAGAGTTGGAAAAATGTGTTTTTGACACTTGATAATTTGTGTTGTATTAAAAAAAAATCAACCAAGTACAGAAGGTTTGATGACAAGTTGCAAGTGGAAAATCTCTACAGTTCTAATGATTTGCTAGTAGAAAAAGTAGGTTATTATGGGGGAACCTTTTTTTTTTATTTTTAGCTATAATTTGTTTTAAAAGTTATTTTAAAACAGGGAGACATGAAATGCCAAGAGTGCTGTGGGTGGGTGGGGGGGTTACAAGCCCTCATCAGCCAGAGGAAATGGTCCAAAGATAAGTAAGGGTGGGCAGAGGGAAGACAGTTCAGTATGTGTGTATTTTCCACAACACAGAACTCAGCTTGTTTTTAATTGGCTTGGCTAATTTTCTGGACAGGTTTGGTTGGTGGGTTTTTTTTCTTTCATTTTATAAAGACCTTTGTAAACTCATGGTTGGAAAAAAACATAATTACAATTGCAGGGTGAGATAAACTGAAACTTAAAAATAAGCATAATTTCATTGGCAGGCATACTTTCCTTCCCTTCTTTCTTGTTTAGCTCTGTTAACCTACCTGTGATAGTAATGTATTTCCCTTCCTGAGCCTAAGAGCTGTAGTTTCTTATTTTCCCTTTCATGATGTTTTTGGGTTTTAAAATTTTTTTTTATTTTGACATTTTGTAAAAAGGGTGATCACTTATTTGGTATCCAGGAACTCAGAACATATGGTGGAAAAAAAACAAACCTTTTTTTAAACCAATTACTTAGCAGGAGTTAAAATTGATAAAATTGTGAAGAATTAAAAAGGAAACTATATTAAATGTTAAAGTATCTCTCCTTGTTGAACTTTTCAGCAAGAGTCTGTATATCTGGGCAATAACTAGTGAGATCAGTCACTGCTTACAATGGGGAAGAATATAGAAACTGAATTTTAAAAATGTTATTGGAAACAACCAAATTAATGTGTTCAGAGGGGCAGGAATGTGGGAAGTAGAATTCTCTGTTAAGAGAAAAAGGAAGGGAATGCATGTTTATATAGTGCCTGCTATGTACTAGGCCCTATGCTTTTTTAAAAAAATATTAATTTGATAAAACCACCCTGGGGGATTCATATTATCCTCATTTTACAGTTGAGGAAACTGACGCAAACATAGGGCAAATGACTTGCCCAGAGTCACACAGCTAGTAAATGTCTATAAGCCACATTTGAGCTCAAGTCTTCCTGACTCCAGACCCAATGCTCTATCCACTTCATCCAAAATCAAATTGCCATCACATTTTATCTTCTATTTGCTGCGAGTGATATACAGTGAGTATCATCTTCTTTTATTACTTCATTAGAGTTCTTGATGGCTTAAACCATGGATATTTTTTTTTGAAACAAGAAATGTGCTATAAATAATTCTGTAATTTTCTCTATCTCTTGTACATAATTCTTATTTTGGAGAAATTTAAGGTCATGAAGGTCAGAGGAATTGTCTAGTCCTCCATCTTGTTGGTCATAGCCATCATTCCTTTGTGATAAAATGCCTTCAGGAAATTATGATGATGGAGATAGAATGCATTTTGTTGCATTTTATGTCCTCAGTAAGTAGAGTAATTTAAAGGAGCTTATGCCTGACATGTGAAAAAAAAAAATCCAGGTGTTAAAGATAGATACTCTATGTAATACCTAGTGTAGTTCTATATTATCTAATAGGTTTTCTTTCTTTTTTTTTTTTTTGAGAAAAAGAGGGTTACACCAATGTAGCTGATTCTTGATAATCGTGTTTAGAAACTGGGCCACTTTAGATTAGTTCCTTCCTATCTTTAAACTACAATTTCTTCATTAAAAAAAAACAAAACAAAAACAACCTTTCCCAGATTACCTGTAAATGAGGTTATGTGAAATAATGATTGGCTTCCACATCTGAGTTTAGAAAATGTTTATGGGTAGAAGCAAGGTTAGGAATCTTATGTCTGCTAAAAATTTATTATTTTCCATCTCCTAAACAGGATGAATTTAAGGTAACTGAGAGGTACCTCACTATGAATGACTTAATCATTGCTCTGAAAGAAAACAGAGTAAAAGAGATGTTTGGCAGTGGTACGGCTTGTGTTGTTTGCCCAGTTTCTGATATACTATACAAGGATGAGGTAAGAGAAGTATTTATTTATTTTTATTATTTCTCAAGGTTCACTTATGATTTTATTAATTTTTTTTTTGCATGGGTTATGGTGCAATTTAGACACAGCTTAAAAGGGGTCTTTTTAACTTTACATGCAATTAGCCTTTGGTTTGTTTATTTCAAATGGAGCCATATTAGCAGTTTACTTACTACCATCTTGCTAAGTGATTTATTTTATGAACACATAGTTGTGAATAATTTCTGATCTCAAATAAATATACCACTGTTGGTTAAGTCTTATGGAATTCAAGTGTTTTTGATACTGCAGTAGACCCTCAGTTTTATGTATTTTCCACCAATCTAATAAGGACGACTTTTTAGGTAATTGACATTATGTTTCAGAACTAAGGAAAATTTCCATTATCCAAGTTACTTTGCTAAATTAAGAACTGCAAATAACCAGTATGACCTTTATGTGCATGGCTTGGTTTTTCTTGTGTTAAATGACAATTTTAAAGCGAAGCATATTATTTTGAAATGTATTTGTGTTTCTTTGTATGTGGCCAGACTCCTACAAGGCTGAGGCCACAAGGTCAGAAGCTAAGTCACTTCTAAATTTAGTAATTCCTAGTACTTAGCACATGGTAGGTATTAAATAAATGTGTTATCATCAAATGTAAATGTCCTAATGCATTTACAAGTCCTCTTATAGAAATGTGAAGATTTAATTGGCAGACATGTTCTGCTCCTAATAAATTCCTGTTGCCTTCACATTATTTCTGCTTACTTTCCTCATCATGCTTATTCTTTTTTTATGACATCCCAGTTTTCATGGATAACATTAGTTAAATTTATAATTAGATGGTATACAGGCATTACTCCTTGAGATAGGGATTAGTTAAATTTGCTATCTAAATTTCTTTGATTTTCACATTGAATATAATTTTTCCTGGTTGTTGAAGTGATGTTTTCTTCTCATTTTTGATGGTCTTCGTACTTATAGGTCTTTAGTATACCATAAAAAGATTTAATCATAATGAATATTATATTTTTTGTTTGCTATTCTATACTTTTCTTATTTTGAAACATTACTGACAATATTAATGGAGCTCATTAGTATCTGTTGATATAAGGACAAATACCAATCAGATGTACCATTTCCTAAAGGTATTTAAAATATGTAAATCAGTGACCATCAAGAGACTAAAAGCCTAGAAATTGCATCAGTGAGCAAAAACTTCATTTCTTTGTCAAGCAGCCTATGTCAGCAATTATTAGATTATAAATTTATTTGTAAAATCTTATGGTGGAATATTATGAACAATATCACCGTATAATACAATGAGAAACAGTACAAGAGCAAACAAGTTTAAAGAGAGCTTGGCAAGAGATTCAACTATGTGATCATGCTAAGATCGTTACAGAATAAAACTAGATGGACAAGAAAGAGATGAAAAATAGAAAAGATTTGTAAAGTTTGTTAGACTTTTTTTCTCCATCAACTGCAATGCAGCCACCATATTTGAACTCCTAATGTAAACTAAAATTTTTTGTTGTACTATGTGAGGAAGTAAAAATTACATTAATGAAACCAAGGATAGAAACAAAATCTTGATTTTAACAAAAACAGTCCTGCTTATACACAGTAGAGGTTCATGCTGGAGGCAACACTGTTTTGGTGGCAACAAAGTATCAAATCTCAAACTTTTTGAAAGAGGAAGAGATTAATGGTTTGGGGAAAATTTTTTGTATTGTTACCAAAAAAGGTAACTGTCATCAACATAAACATATATTCATATATGTATATGTGTATACTTACTTTTCTATGTTAGAAAAATTTGTGAGAATACCCTACACATACATCAAGAGCATCCTTGATGAAAATGTGAAGAATGAACAAGTAAACTTTTGCAAAATATTTTACACTAGATAACTTCTTTCTGATACAGTTGATGGAAAGGTGTAGAGAATGCAAGATATTATTGTGTCTATTTCCTCTAATTTTTTGTCATTCTTCAATCATTCTCTGTTATATCTGACTTTTCATGACCCCATTTAGGGTTTTCTTGGCAAAGAAACTGGCAAAGAAACTTAACTTTTGTAGCTCATTTCACAGATAAGGAAACTGAGGCAGACAGGGTTAAGTGACTTGTCCAGGGTTATACAGCTAGTAAGTGTCTGAGCCAGATTTGAACTCATGAGGATGAGTCTTCCTGATTCCAGGGCCAGTGCTTTATCCACTGTGCCACCTAGGTGCCTTGTTATTTATTCTTAAGAAAGCATTCAGTTTGGTAGCACAAAATATTAAAGATTTGCCTCCCATATATATACCAAAATTATACAAGATTCCTAGCAAGATATTACAATAGACATGGCTTTGGTTCATCACTCTGAACATTACTCAAGCTCTAAAATAGAAAGATGTATACTTATTACAAGCATCTGCCAACGTAATGGAGGATGTTCAACATAAAGACTAAATGAAACAAGGAATCCTTCTAAAATGGTGATGTCCTCTAGACAGTTCTCCTTTGTAAATGACATTTTGTTAATTGCAAGAAGGCATAGAATATCCTTGCACCTCCTAAATGAGATATTTAAAATTTAAGGGAGTTTGGTCAAGCTATCCACACTAAAAACAACAAGTGAATGAAGAATACCTACTGTGTCTTCTTGTTTTCATTCTATTTCATTCTATCAGCCCTCAGAGCAGGCCACAGGGTTTCCATTGGGTTTGAGAATCTGAGGAGTAGATAAGATATCCCTTATATTCTTCTGGATAGGCTCCTTTCTTTTATATGATTCCCCTGTATATTAGATGATCATGCCTGAATCTTAAGACATCTCCCTGGGAGATATTCCCTACTGATTCATGTAGATGTTCAGTGTTTGTTTTCTAACTATTCTGTGGCGTAACTCAACTCTCTGCCTGTCGTACCTAGAAACACTTCTACTGGGAATATATCATAAAGAGGTCAGGGAGCTAAAAATATTTGTTATAGTACTTTTTTTTCTTTTTAATTTATTTATTTTTAGTTTTCAACATTTATTTCCACAAGATTTTGAGTTCCAAATTTTCACCACATCTCATCCCTTCCCCCACCCCAAGATGCCATGCAATCTGCCCTCCCTTCTATCTCTCCCCCCCCTTCTCTTATCCCCTTCCCCTTCTATTTACCTTTAGGGCAGGACAGATTTCTATACTCCATTTCCTGTATTTCTTGTTTCCCAGTTATAGCACTTTTTGTCATGTCAAAAAGTGATGTAAATTGGATGACCATAAAATGAGTAATGGCTAAACCAATAAGGGTATATGAAAGGAATGTAATATTATGTACCTTCTTCCTCTTCTTTATTAGAACATTCACGTTCCAACTATGGAGAATGGTCCTAAGCTTGCCACCCGTTTTTTAAATCAACTTACTGACATCCAGGTAAGTGCTTATTTATTTACTGTCTACTAAATTCAATCAGTGGTTAGAACTAAATATAATTACTTAGAAAACTGCAAGTAATTTCAAGTTAGCAAACATTTATTACTGTGTGCCAGACGCTGCATTAAAAACTGAAGCTACAAAGACAGAAATGAAACATTTCCCCCTTTCAAGGAGCTCACTAGTACGTGTTGGGAGGAGAAAACATGCTCATGATAAGTAAATATAGAAAATAAATGCTAAATGAATAACAACTAGTTTTGGGAGGAAACACTAATGACAGGGGAAACAAGTGCCTGTGAACAAATTAGTCTCTCAATGCCCCCCTGTGCATAGTTGTTTGCATGTTCTCTCTGCTATTACAATGCGACCTACTTGAGGGAGGGGACCATATTTCTGCCTTTGTATTCTCAGCCCTTAGCATGATGCCTAGCAGACCATAAGCACATAAGAAATGCTTGTTGTTAAGTTGATTGACTGTTTCTCTCAGATGATATACTGCTCAATAGATGCTGATCTCTATTGGTAGAGTGATTTTCCTTAATGAGAGTTCCCTATACTAATAATCCATAGTCCAGAATGAAAATATCAAAAATAAATGAACAAAAATATGGCTAAGAATTCCCAAGATGGTGTGATAGGTCTATGTCTTTCTTTGTATCCTCAGAATTTAGCGCAGTGCATAGTACTCAGCAAATGCTTATTAGATGCTTATTGACTGACTGACTGTCTGAATGCATCAAAAAAGAGGGAGGGAATAAGCGTACATAATGTCTACTATGTACGAGGCACTTTTTGTGAGTAAGAAAAGGGCAAAGACAGAAAATGGATAAAAGTAATTAAAAAATCCAATAAAGGGTTAAAACTTTTATCAATGAAAAAGTTTAGAAACAAAAGGTAATGGAAGAAAGAAGGTAGAACCACACCATTTTTTTTCTCACCTCCATTCATTCAATGTGTAATTTAGTGCCTTTGGATAAGAGGAAATCAAGAATTTCTCTTTTTAGCTAAGTTCAGCTAGAACTTTTATGCAACTTATAGTAAAATATAATTATTTGTAGAGAAATCCATATTGAAAATAAAATAAAATCATATTTTGGTACAGATAGTATAATGTAGAGAGGCACCATGAGACCCATACTGTATAGGGAGCAGGACTTGGAACCAGAAAGAAGTACATGCTGCCTATATAACCAGGCACAAGTCACTTAACATCTCAGAATCCAAGGCAACTTTCTTAAGACTGTTCTGTGGAGTTACCTATCTGCACAAGGAGTTCCCCACACTGATGAAATAATAAATAATAGTTCATGCATTAAAAATAAAAAAAGACACTATTTACTCAATTTTTAAATAGCAAAGGATTATTCATTTGGAATATAAATCTGTGACTTTGATCTTTTTTCCCTTTGTGCCTGTGGGCATAGTACCGAGTGGAGTCTTGAAATTGTTCTCTCGCACAGTGGCAAATTGGTGCTGTCAGCCAAGCCACTAGGTTGTCTATTTCTCTCCAAGAAAAATAATTTAAATATCCATTCAGAGAAAAGCCTAGAATTGCTCCGTGTGGTGCATTTGATCTTTCTAACATTACATGGAGACATGGATGTTTCCCACAAAGTACTGTGTAAAAGCTTCAGAGAGCCCTGCCAGTTTGCCCCAGGGGAAACATTCCTGCCCCACCACAAATTTGGCTTTGTCTTTAACCTTCTGTATATGAGTAAGAATCCCTGTGGTTAAGCATTTAATCCCATTTAGGTAATTATGTTTTCCTCTTAGATAGATTCTACAAATACCTCCTAGGAAGAGAGCACTCTAAACTCTGATTACATTTGTTGAAGAAAGAGAAGAATTCCCTATGTGTACACCTAACCCAAATTACATTGAAGCATTATATTTAGGGAACTTTCATTATGTTGCTAGTGTTCCTTTTCTTTTGTCCTGGGGAAATAAAAAAGACACTGGAACTATCCCCACACATGGGTCACCCTGAAAATTTCAGTTTCTTTAAAGGTATTGAGATACTTTGTGCCATTACATTCTTTGAAGGAAAAAAAATCCTGAGTGTTGCCAGAGTTAAGTGTTTTTCAAGAAAATTTCCACAAATTCTGAATTAGACTTCTTCAAAATTATTTTGAGACAGCTTGAAAGTACAAATTATACTAAGTATGATTTTTACTTTAAGAAAATAAGCACCTTTCCCCAAAAGATTTCTATGTATTACCTCCATTAATTGTAGGTTTCTTTGAGAGAGACTTTCAAAACAAAAAAATATTTAAACTTAAAGTTTAAATCTGAAAATATTTATAAAATAATCAGTTCATAGTTAAAATATTTGGATGTACCAACTTTATTGCACTCAAGTCTCATCAGTGGAAAGAATCTTTTTTTTCTTCAAGATAACTAGACATTTGGAGAACAAAACTGAAAATCTAATGTCTATGAGAGAACATTTTTGAAATTCCAAAGAATAATAATAATAACCAATATTTATACAGTGCTTTAATGTTTGCAACATACTTTGCATATTTTACCTCATTTGATCATCTGAATACCACAGGGCCAGGAGTGACATGACTAAAATTGGATTACCTTCAGATGGGTTGATATTATTGCAGTCAGAAAACTTAAATTTCCCAAATGTATTTTTTCTATTGAGTTCATTAAACATTTATTAAGCACTTTCTATGTAAGGCACTAGGGATGTGAAGATGAAAAATGTGGTGATACCTTCCCCTAGGAGCATACAGGCTAAGAGATCAAATGAGATAATAGAAGTAAAGTACTTACCATATGGTCTGCCACATAGTAGGTGATATATAAATGCTTATTCCCTTCTCCCTAAAAGTAGAATTCAGGTACACAAGCAACTACTGTGCAGGTCACAAAGTGATAAACCCTAAAAAGGGATCTCTTCACCATGCCCTAAAGATATAGGAAACCACAGAAGACCTTGTGGAAGAGAGAGCATATAAGCTGGTAGTTGAAGGAAAAGAAGTCAGAGATGTGAAAGGATCATATTGTGAACATAAGGACTAGCTTGAAGGCATGAAAAGAGGAGGAAGTGCACTGGATAAGGCTAAGAAAATGACTGTTAATCCAGTATCCCTGGTACATAGGGAGATTTAAGGGGAGTACTGTGAAATAAAGCAAGAAGGGTAGGTAGGAGGGAAAGTATGGAAGATCTTAAAAAAGAAGAGTGTATTTTATCTTATAATTATCTAATTGATTAGTCACAATTAACCTAATTATGGTTAACAACAATCATTTCATTCAATATGTCCTGTATAATTTACGATTCTGAGTATTTCAAATCTTAAAAATATCAAACAAAAACATTGAATATTTGTGTTTCTGTATTCCTTTCAAGTAAGACATACTGGGTGTACTTTTCACGTTCTCTTGTCTTTAAGTTGATGAGAGAACTTCATTTTCCTTGCAAAGATCTCATCAGCCAGGTCATCTTGCTTAGAACATAATCAGTTGTCTAACTGGGCTGAAAGGACCCAGGAATACACGCATACATACACACATACGTACATACGTACATACATACATACATATATACATATATATTTACATATGTGTATTGATAGATCGTAAGAACCCAGTGAAAATTATTCTTGTTGTTTTAGCATGAGTGGCATGATTGCACCTGTGCAATAGAACAAGCATTTTCACAGTTGTGTGGTCTTAATCTGATGCTTCATCATGACTCTGAATGTATGAAGGTTATGCCTGAGGAGTACAAGCTCTGGTATGATACAAAGACTTCCAGGTAGTTCTAGTAACACGTTACAACTGCATTTCATGGACAAGCCTCACTAAGTATAGAGATGCTTTCTACAAGTAGATTGGCTTCTTGGGGATGATTTTTTTGGATATGTCAACAAAGGAAATGTAAAAATTATTCTCATTCTCATTCATTGGATGGTGACTGTGAAATGGTGGAACAAGGGACTGAAGATGCAAATAATTACAGTTTTTACGCAATCTATAAATATGAACACATGTGAATAACCCTACATGAGAGATCCTTGACAATGACCAACAAATACTTCTGCCATTAGAGGGACTCAATCAGATCAATTTAGACATTCTCATTATAAATGAAATGAGAAGACAGGAAATTTCAGCTCAGCAAAAGACTGGCTCATAAGTTTTCCTGGAGAGGCACATCAAGTAATTGTCAGTTGGTTTTACTGAGTAATCAAGGGCAATAAGAAATATAACTTCATGAGTTATTTGGTCATTTTGTTTTGTAGTGATCTTGGTAAGACTTTTCAAAAAGACCTCCATGAAAGTAATTGTGGATTATGTAGCAACAACAGTTTAGAGGATTAGGAGGCACAGAAATCTACAAAGAACTTCGTACTTCTCTCCAAAATAAATAAAAATAACTGACACTTGATGACTTTAAGGAATAAAACAGGATAACAGAATTTCATAACTGGAAGTAACTTCAGAGTCCATTTTAGTCTAACCTATATCTGAAAAAAAAAAAGGCACTTTCTTTGTCACATGACCTGTGGCAACCAACCATCATCAGTCTGTCTCTAGTCTAACCTATCTGTGGCCCAAAGAAGTTTAAGTTATCTTAATTTTGGCCCTTACCTACTGCTGAGTTGTACAGGTCTGACATACCCTCTCATGACCTACTTTTCCACCCTTATTATACATTACTGTCCTTCATGCACCCTTCAGTCCAGCCAAACTGGGTGTCTTGCTATTATCTCACATACAACATTCCACTTTCCATCTCCATGCCTTTGTATGAACTGTCCTTATGCCTAGGATGCATTCCTTCCATATTCTGCCTTTTAGAACCCCTATTGCCTTAGCTGTCCCCCTTAGGTAGCAATTCTCTTGTTCCTCCAGGTTCAAGTGACTCCCCAACCACAATGACCTTGTTTTGATTTTGTGTGTTTTGCATTTAGGTAATGTGTATGCATGATAAGCTGCTGGAAGGCAGGAACTGTTCCACTTTTACCTTTGCTTGCTTCATGTCTAGCACATAAGCACTTAATATATGCTTGCTCATTCATTGATTTGAAGAATTAATGCAGTGCTAGTTTTGCTCAACTGCTTTTCTTCTCTCTTTTCTTTCTTACAAGAGGAAGGGAGGAGAGAGGAAAGAATATACATGAAAATAAAAATAAAATATCTGTTTAAAAAAAGATTAAATAATTGTATTACCCATTAGCCAAATAAAAATTTTCATTATTGGATTGAGAATTATTATAAATTTTGAAAGGAAGTGGCAATATTCTATAAAACCATAAAGAATAGGCTTACTAGGAAAAAGTTCATCAAATGATGTATCTTCAAATCGTTGAAGAGCTTTTATGTACAAGAGGGATTAACTATATTCTGGCTGACCCCAAAAGGGAAAAATGGATAGAAATTATAAATGTGCTATTTATAATACAAAGAATAACTTCCTAACAGTCAGAGCTAGATGAAAGTAGAATGTACCAACTCAGGAGCTATTGAGTTCATCATTAATGGAGGTTTTAAAAACAGCAAAGTCATTGAGGAAAACGAGGGCCTCACAACAACCTTGAGAGGTAGGTGCTGTCATTTGGACAAGTTAAGTAACTTGTCCAAAATCAAGCTAATAGGCATCTGAGGAAGGATTGGAACTCCATTCTTCCTAATTCCAAGTCCAATACTCTATCCACTATGCCATCCAACTATCTCTTGTAGGTAGCCAAATGATAACATAAGAAAGATAGGAAGAGTGTAATATAATTGAATGGCATGTGCTTCAGAAGAGGACAGATTGTTCAATTATAATGGTATTATACATTTTAAACTTTTTAAAATTTATGAAGTATTTTCTTCACTTCAGTGATGTTTAATAGGCAATATAAGTATTATTATTCCCATTTTACAAATGAAGAGACTGAAGATGAGATTTGCCCAAGGTCAAGGTAGTTAAGACTTGACCTCAAGTCTTCTGATTCCAAGATTCTTTTCACTAGCTTCACAGTGACAATGACAGAAAAATGTTCTCAGAATGGTAATAAAGCTCAGGAGTGTAGGCATGGCTACTCCTCTTCCATTGAGAAAGGCCAAGTGTGCCTTTGGTAGAAGTCAGATTTCAGGTACTCAAGGATCTTAGAAGGAAAGTTTTGAGGATGTAGCTGAGTTGAAGTATAATAGAATAGGATGGGTCTTCTTTCAAAGGTGAAGAGAGAGCCTAGGGAAAGGTAGGTCTGAGCTTTCCAGGATGTGCTTTGGTTAAGTAAAACATACAAACCTATTTTCATATGGCTTTAATTGAGACTGAGATTTTTTTGAATGAAGAAAAGAATTGTTGGTGTAAAATATGGCATACAATTTTAGTTTGACAGTTTAGCCAGCATTTACAGATTTTTAAAGATTTTGCTGGCTAGCATGTCTGTTTTATCAATTGTTCTATTAGGCATCTATCTAATCATCTTGCATGTAGTACTTTAAGGTTTACAAAACACTTTTACATTATCTTATTTGATCTCTAAAAAAGGAAACAGCAGTCAGTTAATTTAGATCATATTATTTTTAACTATCAAAAGCCAAATGTAGACATAGGTGCATTTTAGAAAACCAAGACTGCATTTAGTATTTATTCAGCACTTAAGTCCTAGATTCTAGGAATAACAAGATGTGAACAAATAACAAAAATGAACTTGTCTTTGTCCTCAAGGAGGTTACATTCTTTTAGAGAAAATGACATCTAAAAATACACTTTATAAGATCTAATAGTTTAAAGCTGAACCAAGAATTTTGAGACACTTGCACAAGGTAGTTTCCAGGAAAGAGGCACCAGTAGCTAGGGTGTGGTGGAAAGAAGGAGCAAGTTAGAAAGACCTCATGAAAAGTCTAAGAAACACATACTTTAATGATATATTGATTTCTAGTAATGTCTCACTCCTATTCTCTATCATGGCTAGAGTGGATTGAGGACCAACCTTGGGAATCAATTGGATCTGGGTTCAAGACTGACTGTGACCTTGAGGAAGTCACTTAACTTTAATGTTTTAGGCAACTTTATAAGACTCCAAGTTTCGGATGAATTGACAATATGTATTAGTGGATTTCTATATCAGAAGCTCCTGAAAGCAGGAATATTATCTCAGGTCAAAACCTAATCTGTAAAGGCTTTGAAGAATCATTCTAGCTAAGCTTAGAAAAGTTCATATCCAGGTTGCCTTGCAGGGTGACAGAGTTTTTTGGTCTTGGCAATTCTTCAAAATGGTCTTCTAATTCATTAAAGGGTAGTGATTTACATCACTGGGGAAAATACTCACACTGACAAAAATCACAGCTCCTTAAAACAAAGTACATACAGTTTATATGAAAATATGAAGCTTGATCATTGAGTATGAATATTTTTAAAGTTTTTATTTTTTCCAGATAGCAAAAATCCAACATTAAACAAAAAAAAATCTCCCTGTATATTTTTCTTCATTTGATTTTTGATTTTTTTCTCTAAATACTTCAGTTTAATACATAACACTATAAAATTGATCTGCTTACCTTGCCTTGGCTTTTTCATAATGATTTAGTTTTATGCTTTTCCTGCACTGTCATCTTTCATTCTTGAAATATGTCTTCTTGTTTTTGTTGCAGTATGGACGAGAAGAGAGCGATTGGACAATCTTGGTGTCTTGAATGAAAAACACAGACAATATCATCTATATGTTATTGGGGCGAAACATTGTGTTTGAATTGTGATAAATATGTTTGGCTACCAGTTTATAGCTGTGTGTAATGTATTGTGTATTATCACTGTGTTCCTGGGGATGAATGCTTCCCACATGCCAGAGAATAGAAATAACAATCATGTCACTTTGTTCAGTAAGCTTGCTAGTAGAAGCTTCCTTTCTTGTAGTAAGTAGCTAAGATGAAGCCATAAAAAGTAGAAATACCCTCACAACTCTTAGTGCCTCCTTTAGTGGCCTTGACCTTACTCATGACTTAGAATGGAATATGCCCTTCTTCCTGTACCTCCTTGGCATTTCCCCCCTCTTCTTTTATTTACCAAATGAGGCTTGACTGACTAAAAGCTGGTTCAGATGAATTTTATCATGTACGTTCTGTTTCCTTCCTTACCATCTTTAGGACACTCTTCTCTGTGGTTGTCATTTTTCTGTTTTTCTTTGAGACATTGGAAGAGCTGGATTTGCTCTCTGCACTTGGGTTTTGAAGTGAATTTTCCTCTGGCACAAGCATTTTGCTTAATTCTTCTGTTCCATACAATAGAAATGTTGCCACAGAGGATAATGACATGATCCTTCTGCTCAATTTTGGATCTAAAGTATCATTAATAGCCTTCTGTTAGTCCCTTATGCTTGTTTGCCTTTATTGCATATTCACAGGGCATTTCCCCAGGGAGGCTTCAGTTTGCAAAGCTCCTTGTCATTGCACCTGGAGGCTCAGGGAATTTTCATCAATATCCCTGCTAATAATCTGCACTGTAATTCATTTTATTACTCACTCTCCCTCTTCCTTTTTAGTATACCTAACTCCCACATGCCAACATTTAGCTATAAAACACTTATCTTGTAGCTAAAAGACATTGCAAATTGATTTTTTTGAACTTCTAAATTTCTCTGTACAGTATTAGGTTCCTAAGGGACTTCCTTAGGAATGTACTCTCCCTTCTTTTTAAAGACTTCTTCAAATTTTGTAGTGATCTGAACTGTTCTCTAATCACTAAAACAATTACAGAATTGTACTGAAGAACTGAATTATCAATGACAACTGTGAATATGGGTTTTGGGTCTACATTCTCTTTAAATAGGTTATAAGCACAGAACAGCATTCAGTTTCAGAGAAGTATGACTGTATGTTCTTACTGTCTTTACATAATTGAAACTGGTTAATTGGCATTTGTGCTTGATTCTTACAGTTAGTGTATTTTTCGTACATTGTTTTTAGTTCCCATGGTCTGCTGACTCACCGGCTTGGAGAGCTACCTACAGACACACAATAAGATAAATTATTCCGATACTGACTTGTGCCTTGAAGTGAGATACAAAGTTAAAAGAAATAGAAGTGCATTTCCTAGTGAGTGAAATAATAGTGAATTGTGTAATAATTGCTCATTTTTATGTTTCTGGGTGTGAGAAGATGGAAAGACCTCTGATTTAATAGCTACTTTTTGCTACAAAGCAGGGACTATAGAGTGTGTGTGTGTGTGTGTGTGTGTGTGTGTGTGTGTGAGAGAGAGAGAGAGAGAGAGAGAGAGAGAGAATTCTGGAATGAAGAAGATAACAAAAATGCTCTTCATAGGGCTTTTATGATGAGTTGTTATCCTGGAAGATGCTATCTAATTCAGGACTTAATCTTGAGAAGTATGACTATCTTTCCCACAGTTAATATGTCTTTTATTTTTTAAAGGATTTATTTTTTTCTTAGTAAATCTTTTGACTAGCCTTGAAAAAGAGTGGCATTGAATCTGAGCTTTTCAAAAAATATTTTACTATAATTATTTCCTTTGGAATCCTATGTATTTTATTTTATGCATTAAAAAACATTATTCTCAAAAAAGGTCCACAGGCTTTATCAGATTGCCAAAGGAGTCCATTACACAAAAAACTTTTGGTCTGTGGAAAAGGAGGGGTTGCTTTTGCTAGTCCTTCAATACCCTGTCTTTTTATTTAGTTTTTCAACTATCTATGTGTGGTTTCCACAATCACTATCTGGGGCCATCTCAGGCATTTTCTGCTATACTTAAAATCTTTCAGGATACAACTGATATTTATACAGTGCTTTAAGGTCTACAAAGCAAACACAAAAACATGAAGATAGTACAAGTATTTTCATTTTCATTTTACAGTTAAGAAAGGTTAAGTGACTCTGCTCATGGTTACCCACTAGTAAGTATCAGAGGCAGGAACTGAACTCAGGTCACCTGATTGCAAGATCAGTGCCCTATCCATAATATCTGGGTGCCTCTCAGCTTGTGGGAGGAACATCAAGGAAGTTCATGTTAGGGTGTATAATTGTTCCTATCACTTTAATCAGAGCTAACTATGCTACTAACTTGTTAAATGGATTTAGAAAGAACATGTGTGCAATTTTTTTTCTTGGTGCCCTATTTGTTTAATTGTAGTGGATCAATATAGCAAGAGTAGCACATTATAACTAGGCAATTATCCATTTTTCAACAGTTAGTTGTGGTAACACTAATTGATCATTTAAGACATAAGATAATCTAACATTAGGAACATGTGAAGCTAATCTGCTCAAAAAGATCAACAAATTAATACTGTTGCTGATATTTGCATAATTGACTGCAATTATTTAATGTTTAATTGGGTTGATCAAATGAGATTCAGGAACTCACATGAGTATGCATATAAACAGAACTGATGGTACTTAAAATGATTTGTGTTTCCTTTTTTCCTCTACTTTATTGAGTGATTACTTTCAAACCAAATCTACCCCTAGCTTTCTATACATCAATAGCAATCAAGACTTTAAAAATGAAATATTATCAGACATCCACTAAAATGGAACTGTAAATACTGTTTAAACTCCCATCTGGCATCAGAAATTTTCTTTGTCAAATTCTTTTTTAAAGAGTAAAGTTGTGCCCCATCAAAGGATGAAAAATCAGATCAGCACATTCCTGAGATGGGGTACAGTATTGACCTGTCTGAATGAATAAATGAAAGTTATCAGATTCAGCTTACAAACTAGCTACAAAAAATGATGGAGTGAGTCACTGTATAATGACTTAATTCTGGCAAGGAATCTTAGGAAGACGTACAATGTAGAGAGTAGTCCCAGGATTGGGAATTGGAAGACCCATATTCTGATCTCCACTCTGCTACTAACCATCTCTGTTATCTTCAGAAAACCAATCTACCTTCCTGGGCATAAATGTCCTCAGAAAAATTCAAACTAGATATACTATATCACCCTTCAAGATTTAACATCCAGAAATTCTGTCTCTCTAGAAAGTACTCTGTTTTGAGGACAATTATCTGATAGCAAAGACTATTGTATTTTCATCTCCCCCCAACCCCCACCCCCAAGAGCATAGCACAGTGGTATGTACATAGCAGGTACTTTAAAATGTTTCTTGAGGTGAATTATAGAAGAGAAAATACACTATTCTTCCATATCAGGAGAGAAAAAAAATATATAATATCAACCTTGTGATGAAATGCAGTTTTAGTACTTTTAAGAAAGCAAGAAATGAATATCAGAACCCAGTGTTAGAAAACTGTGCCAATTTGATGGCTGGCTTTAATTTCAACACCTAAAAATAATTGTCCATTGGCCAATGGAGGTAGAACAGTCTTTCTTGGGCACATGAAATTATATCATTTTTGGGCAGAGAGTTTGTTAGAGGAGCTTCAGTTTTAAATATAGGACCTTATCATGGCAGGGAGTTAGAAGCCCCCACTAGACATTTTTAAAGTTAAATTTAAAGTTATTTATGTCCTCTCTCTCACTGAGCACATTAAACTTGTATTCTTTTTCCTGAAGCAGTTTTTCTTTATCCCTGAAAACAGTCATCTTGCACCTTGTAGGTATGGAAAAGTGTATAAGCAGAACACTAACCACTTTTGTTCTTTAACAGATAAGTTTTTTGAGTTCTGTTTTCTGAAGCACTTTGTGTGTTTCATGCAATAGTTCAGACTTCTTTTGATTCAAAGTCTATTGTCTGAAAATGAAGCAGGCCACTTTGGCAGCTGTTATGAAACCATAATTTATTAAAGGACCAGTGGTCCTTTATAGTGTATACGTGTCCATGAAATATAGTCAGTGAATTCTTTTATAAAATGATAATGTCTTTTAAAATATCTGAGCACTAAATGAATCATGAATGGTTATACTAGCCATTAGTCTTGGTGGACTTATCTAAATGGGTCAGTCAGGTTAAGATTTGCCACAAACAATTTCTTTTTCATCTGTTTCCCTGTAAAAAGTCCCTTCAATTAGTAGCATGCCTTAGAATTAACAATATTGATGTGAGTTTTAACTAGTCATAATACATTTAACAATTTAACAATAACAACCATACAATACATTTGGTTAACAATTATTGAGTGATTTAAAAGGTGCATGAGAGGGGCAGTTACGTGGCGCAATGGATAGAGCACCGGCCCTGGAGTCAGGAGGACCTGAGTTCAAATATGGTCTCAGACACATAACACTAGCTGTGTGACCCTGGGCAAGTCACTTAACCCCACTGCCCAGCAAAAACAAAGAAAAAAAAAGGTACATAAAATTCTACAATACTAGATGTGGAACTGATTTCAGAGTATGGTAATTGACCTCAAAGAGCTTGCAATCTAGTCATACAGTCTAGTAGCACAAGTCTGAAAGCATTTGATACGTGCAATCAAAAAGAATAAGTTAACTAGCAGTTAAGAAAAAAACTGAATATTTTGATCTATCATTTTCAATGAAAATTGTTTTATATTTCTTTACTTCTTGTAGGAAATTCTCTACTACTCAGCACTGAGCATGGCATAAGCTATGTTGTTTCTTCACTGACTAATGCTAATCTGATATAAGTCTTCTGGGCCGTATTAAACTGATGCAACATATTTAATAAGAAACCTCAGATAATAATATCCCCACTAGACTTGTTAATTCTTAAGAATGCTAAGGCTGAAATTCACATGCAAAATACTATCTGAAAATGAGATTTACTGGAGACTATACATTATGGAACAAGTTACTTTAACATGTTAGGTCATGTATTGAGCTACTTAGAAAATGACCAAAGCCTGAGAAATGTGTTTCTGTCCTGAAGACCAGTTCTTCTGGTCTGTAAGTTTGTGTCCTTTTTGTTGTTACCCAAAGAAAATCTTTTTCAAAATCCTGGCTGATTAACAAGGAAGTTTTAGCTTCTTTTTCATTCTTCAGTATACCTTAAAGTTGAAGTACCCACTTCAATAAAATATATATCAGATCCTTTATTTAGTTAAAAAAAAATGAAACATACCAAGGCTCAAGAAGTTGTCATCTTTACCCGCGATGATTTCCTGTGATTAGATATACACATCAAAACTCAGTCTTTTGAGAATGAATCTGTACTCCTCCCCTCCCACTGCTCTTGTTTTTTTTTTTTTTGCCAGTCAGATCAAATTATTACATCTCACTTTTTTGGCTGCGTGGTTTCCTGCACTAGAATCTCCATTGTTAACAGGACTTAATAGTTGAATAGTTTACTACACATTTTATATCATCCCCAAACTCTTGTTTGCAAAATAATGTGCAGATTCTGATTCACAAAATGCAGGGGTGGATATTTGTTCATTGACAGATAATGAGACCTAATTAATTCCTCATGTCAAAGGCTATAGTGGGCAAGTTATTTCCTACAGTTTTGTACAGAATGAAGTAAGATGTGAAAAAGAAAGTCAGTGGCAGAACAACAGTAAGAATGAAAGAGGAAGGGATACGATTCAGGAAGCAGCACAAATATTTCATTCTTCTATCCTGTCTAAAGAAAGACTATTTCCCTACCCCTGCAGAATTCTTGTACTCTGCTACTCTTTTAAACTTTGGCTTCTATGCTAAGGCTAGTTATGGGTGCCAAATCAAAACAGTGCCAATTATTATGTGTCTTCAAGAAAGTGGTTTTAAGTTTTTCTAGCATTAGAATGAGCTCGCAGACATTTTCTGACAGGGACTATGGGAAATTTCATCTTTTATTTCCCATGCCTAGTACAATGCCAAGTGTAGACAAGGCACTTAATAAGTGTGTATTGAGGTGAACTAAATTATTGGGATATCTAATAGAAACTACTTTGGAAAACTAAAGAGCTGGACTGGAGTTAATTCAAGAGATTTAAAAACCAGGGCTTTTTTTTTCTTTTTCTTTTTTTTTTTTTTTTGTGAGGCAATTGGGGTTAAGCGACTTGCCCAGAGTCACACAGCTAGTGAGTGTTAGGTGTCTAAAGCCAAATTTGAACTCGGGTCCTCCTGACTCCAGGGCCAGTGCTCTATCTACTGTACCACCTAGCTGCCCCTCCAGGGCCTTTTAAAAAACAAAACAAAACAAAAGAAAAAATGAATTCTTGTACATACTGTTGATTCTTGAGCAATCTTTTTCCTTTCAGGTTTTTTTATTATGAATTTCTTTGGGCAGAGGAAAATTATAAGGAACTAGAATCAAATTATTTATTGCAGATCTTATCTGTTCCTTAGATAGGATTACTTTGTTTTAGGAATTAGATGAATATTGTGGCTTCACTTTTAACTGTGAAATTAAATATTTAGTTGTATTTTTCTCCACCTAGTTATCAAAAGGTACATAAAAATAAACAGTAAGGTTAAGATGAATGCAAGAACTGACTTCAAACAATGCATCACTGTAAATTTCCAAGGTTGTGGGAAATGCTGTTAGATCAGATCTTGGAAAGTAAGTCTGTTAGTCTCTGAGCATATATCAAGTTTTTTTTTTTTTTTTTTTTAAAGAGGTTCCCCCAGTAAATTGAAAAAATTGATTCAACTATAGATAGATACATCTCATTTATACCATCGTTCTCACTCACAGTCTGAAATTATGTGTACTTATTTAGTAATGGACACTTGATAAAAGAGAAATTAGATTAGAAAAATAGGTTGAAGTGAATATATCCTATCCCAGAGTTTATAGAAGTTTAGGAACATTGAAAAGTTAGCTAAAAATGCAGACTTTTTGAACCTGATTTGAAGTCTGACTATAGTTATCACAGGAGTGATAAAACCTGGCCACTAGTGTCTTAAGTTTCCTATTTTATGAGGTGACTAGTTCTGTACCTGTTTGTGAAATCCTCTTTAAGTAAGAAAAATTGGTCATTCAACAGATATAAAGAAATATTTTAGAAGACTCATGTTTTCATAAATGTTTGAGGTGATGTTTTGTTATGAGGATTCAGACACATTAAAAGCACCATAATAACAGCTATAAGGAAAATATAGTGAGTAAAGTAAAGGAAACTATACCTCATTCTTCTTTAAAGGTTTTGTAGAAGCACAATTAAACTCTCATAATGGCTTTGTTACACATGAACCATCTGGTGTGAATGAACACTTTATATTTGTATGTCTAAAGAACCTGTAATAATTGTATTTTGCTGGCAATAGATACATTCTTTATTGTTTGCATTTTCCTCATCCAATCTGTAATTATGCAGTATTTCTCTCTTCAATAAAACAATTTAATGGACACCTGTTTGTGTGGTATGAAGAAATCAGCATTGTTGGATGCATGTAATAAACTTTAATTGCCATTTTTATGATGCTTCAAGGTTTTTGGTTAGAGGATGTAAAAACTGTCATTTTCACATTTTTAAAATAATGACATTGAAGAGAAGGAAAAGAAGCAAGGGTATAAGGAAGAAGACATGTAACAACATGAATGTTAAATATATTTTTTATAAAAAAATCTTAAAAACTTTTTTAAGTATATGGATTTATTTTCCGCTAACTATAGCTTCCCCGCTTCAAATTACTGTACAATATATCCTGAATAGATTGGCTCTTCCTGTTCACCTTAAAATTGTATCTACAATATTAATTAAATTGTTTGCCCACAGTAGTTAAAAAAAAGCTTTGGGACAAAAATATTGTCTAAATGTTATAAATCAGTTCTAAAGATAAAGTATTAATAGGATTAGTAGAATCTAATATTTATTTAGTGGTTCCTATGTGCCAGGCATTGTACTAAGCAATTTTATAAGTTTTATCTCATTTGATCCTCACAACAACCCTGGGAGATAAGTGCTATCATTATCCCCATTTTACTGATGAGGAAACTAAGGCAAATGGAAGTTAAGTGACATGCCAAAAGTCCCACTGATAGAAAGTATCTATGGTCACATTTGAACTCAGGTCTTCCTAACTCCTTGCCTCAGTTGCCTTATCTGTAAAATGAGCAAGAGAAGGAAATGGCAAACTACTCCAGTATCTTTGCCAAGAAAACCCCAAATGGGGTCATGAAGAGTCAGACAGGACTCAAAAATGGATTCAACAACTTCCTAATTCCAGGCTCATTGATCCATCCACTGCACCATCTGACTCTCCCTTACTTTGTCCTATAAATAAAGGACATCAATAATCCAACTTTCTAGTCAAATAAAGAACTTCGTGAAAAGATATAAGAATAATTTGTAGATTAGGCATGTTGTATTCATTTTCCCATAATTTGGACTACATGATTGCAAATGCAGCAAAACTTTAGTTTTATCAAAGAGTGACAAAGCAAAGCTTAAACAAAGCAAAGCTTAAATTCATCATGAATCTTTTCCCTATATGCTTCAACTCCTGAAGACAGTGACCTCTTAGCAAGCTAAGAACTTAGGTTAGAGCTAAGAGGGCGTGGGCAAAGGTTAGTAGTTTGGTTCAGCAATAGTGTCAGAGCACAACTCCCAGAAGAATGACAAAGATTGAGATGTCATTGCTGAAGGTGATGACTTACTGGTGTTTACATGATTTATAAGAACAGACAGCTCTGTTGAGAAAAAAAGCAGTTTTCTTCAGGGGAGAAAGTGTCTTTTCTGCATTGTCCTACTAACAAAAAGAAACAAAAGAAACAGACATTTTCTTGCCTTTGTAACTTCCCTCCCCTCACACAAACTACCTCAATTTAATCTCATGTATGTTCTCTAAGTTTGCTTATATATCCAAATCAAAATACACTGTACCAGTATATATTTTTTCAGGTCATACTGTGGAGTTCTTTTTACCCATATCTATCTTCATCTGCTTATGATGGTGATGGCTTGTGTCATGACATTCCTGTAACTTCAAATTGGTACATCAAATGAAAAAAAAACTAAAAGGGAATTCTTATTTGCATATATGTGTTTGTGAAGAATATTGCATATTCTTTGTAACAGCCCTTTCATAGCTGTGATTTTATACCTCAATGTCAACTAGAAACTTTGTAGTCCTATTTACGTGTTGGAGTCTTTGCTAATAAGTTATACATTGGCTGAGAAAACTCAGTTGATGAGTAAAAAGTATATACAAATAGTTTCTATGCCAAAACTTCCAAATTTATTGACGGGAAAAATTCTTAGGATGAGCAAATGGATATAAAAAATGGGAAAGTAATATTGCTCATCAGGTATTAATGCTAAAGCAAAAGGAGGCAGAAATATGATTACCTTGGACAATTGAGTTACCTTTCCTGGGAAGCAGATTCCTCATTCTTAAAATGGGGACATTGAAGTCATTGAATTCTGATGCCCCTTCCAGATTGAAATGTGTAATTGTGATGTGTTCACTGTAAAGTCATATATGAAAAAGTTCCAAAATGAGTAATCTTGGAAGCAATGAAAACAATTTCACCAAGAGATGTTTGAATACTGTAAGTAGAAATTCAATACCATCTCCAGATCTTCAGATTCATACTGCTGCAATAGACAGTTTGCTTAAACTTGAAAAAGTACAGTCAGTTGCGTAGTTTTTAAGTTTTAGAGGACACCGGAAGAAAAACATTCTTCACTATCATTCTGCTCTTTTGTTACCAGTGGATTAAATTCATTACTCCAAGTTATTAATGACCAATAATTCTTGGAAATGTCCATCTTTGATAACAATTTCCCACTTTTCCATCTCTCCTCACTCTTAATCCTAAAACTATTCTCCATCTTGACCTCTATCTTCAGTTCTTCCATCTCTTTCTGTTCTCTCACTTCATCACTTCTATTCTACCTCATTTTCTTCCCTTTACATTATTGACCCTTTGGATCAGTGGTCTTCAAACTTTTTTTCTGTACCAATATCAATAAAATAATTAAGCACAGCATTAACATGCATATTTGCAAGTTATATATGTATACTTCTATGCCAAAATTACATATATTATCAATGCACAAAAATGTGTATTGACTATTATTTCACATACTATAATTTCAACAAAAATAGAAATAGAAAAGAGCATGAGATGAAAAGGAAATAATCTTTGAATCATTTGGGATCCACTGGAGTTTACTGAATGGGGGGATGACGTGGTCAAACTTTTGTTTCAGTAAAACACAGCTGGCAACTGTTGAGAATGGATTGGAGAGATAAGACAAAGGAGATCAATTAGGAGCCTGATGACATAG